AAAGTATACACACTCGAATCAATTTTCTGCTAATACTATCGATTAATATGCATATACTTATATTCTTATAAACATATTTTATGGGATGATATGACAATTCTGCAATCTAAATGTACTCTAAGAAAATTGTTACTAAAAATATAGCAGACACATGCCAACAGTTCTGTGTTTATCTTAGTGATTAATATTTCATATTATTTACTCTCTGATCTTCCTTCGGAAATGAGTGTACAAATATATCATTAAATAATATACAAGAATGACCATCCTAATCATTCCTTTTTGACCATGACTAGTGATATTTTATTTTTTGTATTTGTCATATGGACTATAACTTTATTCTCTGTATTAAAACGCACATATATAATTCATATTATAGGCTCTACTACCAAACTCTACGACGAAAATGAACAATAAAACAGATTGTGAACTTATTCGATGGTCTCAACAAGCTTTAAAAATAGTCAAACCTATATATTATATATGTATTTTTGCCACCATAAATCATCTTCTTTTTTGGATTCAGTTTATTGCATATCCATCAGTTCGTCAACATTCTATGCAATGGCTTTATGCTTATCTAATAACTGATTTACTATTACTTATTCGTTTCTTTCTACTTTATGCTTATCGATGGTTACCAGTATGTCTACCTTATCTTTTTCGCATAATCATATGTTATAGTGAAGCTATCTTTGACAATTATTTAAATTTATTACAAAGTTATATTCTTTTAGCATTAAATATCTGTCGTTATTTACAAATTGCTTATAATCATAATGTTTATTCATTAAATCGTCGTTTGATTATTGTTGTTCATTTGCTCATTTATATTATACCTCTAGTCAGTCATATTATTATAATTATATGTGGATGGTCTGTTCTTGAACATCCACCTGGAGATGTATGTGATCTTCTACCTGGCACATTGACTACTCAACTTTTATTTCTTTTATTTTCTTATTTTATACCAGTTATTTTGACATTAATCTTTCTTTTACTTTGTCTTAATTATATTCATAATACTCATGGTATTCAAACACAAATGATTGTCGCTGCACGATTAAAGTATCATCGACAATTAGTTGTACAATCTGGTGTATTTTACTCTTTATTTTTAATCTTGTGGTCACCTCATCTAGTTGTATTTCCATTCGTTTATAAAAATAGTACAGTTGGAATAATCGCTCAAATATTAAATTATCTAAGTATAGCTGTCGATCCAATTATAATAGCTGCACTTGATGTAAGATTTTTACATGCATGGAAATCGACTCGTAATCATTTGGATAGATATATAAGACGACGGTCGACACCTGTTCGGGTAACATTTCCGTTAAACTCGTTAGAATAAGCAACAGGGCAGAATATTAAATCAATATAACTTCGTAACGATATGGTTATAATCAATTTTCTAGCTGTTTAAAAGAAACCTATATTTTGACATAGCTCAATTCACATGAAATAATGCAATTAAAGATCGTGGAAAGATTATTTATTATCCTTATTACCCTTCTTGAATACTTTAATTGTTGAAATTTTGAAATTCTACATTTTGCTTGTGTAAATTTCGTTGTCAAATAATCCTTTTTTTTTGTATCAATAATAGTTTGGATTTTGTATACATTTTTACTAAGGATTGAAATTATTTTAGTAATTAGTTATTAATTAATTAAACTTCGGCAATGTACAAACATAGTAAAAGATGTTTCATCAATGCTAATCGAATAACAATAATAAACGAAAAGCAGTGTTTGTTGACTTTTCTTGGAAGAAAAAACATATAAAAAAATTATAAATTTGTTTATCACGCGATTTATTTGAAACTTGAATTCGTAATACCATTTGAAGAGAACAAGATTTATCATTAAATAAAATAAGACTAAATTTATCAAATCTAATATATTTTCTTGATTTTTATTATCTTTTTGTTTCTAGTATGGTTATTTTTAATCACGAACAAAATAGTTGATTTTTTTTTCTCTTTTCTAACTAAGAAATCATGTTCTATTAAGTGAATCTGTAACATAAATCAGAAAAAGATAATAATGACCAAGATATTTATAAAGCGACAGAGTTCAATGAATTTCATTTTTTACACGAGTAGAACACAAATGAAAAACGAATTACATGAATAAAATATCGATTTTGAAACAAGCTGCTTTACATTTCGAAAATGTTGATTCATATTCTTTATTTTTGCATCAGTTATCATTCATTCACTGGATTTGAGCATTTATTTACATTAGTTGATGCATTTTATTCATTATTCAATCGGTAAAATTTTCAACTTGATTTATCTAAATTTTTGCATTAAAATGAATTCAGAATGGTATAAGTCATTGGAACATACATTTATGACGACTATACCAGAAAAAGAGGGCAGCTCATCCTTATAGTATTTTATGACATTAGTTGTCTGCTCTGAACTTTCTTCAATTTGGAATATATCGAACTGTTCAAGTTTCGAGGTAACTCGAAGCTGTTCTCTATCGTGTTCAATAATGAAAGAATATTCCTAACTATCGCACACTATTCAACATAATGTCATGACTATAAGTTGAGTTCTATAAGAAGCCTGAAAAAATTCGAATTCATGACCTCCTGATAATGATTCATAAATTTTTTATGGATAATTTTATTCAGAGTAGTATGTTTTCGAAATTATTCAAATGAGAAGGTTTTATCTGAATTATTTAATATCCAAATGAAACTGTCTTATGCAATGACTTATCGTAAGCAGCTGTTTTTATTCGGGAACTAAATATGTCCAGAAAAACTTGCTCATGTTCTTTATAACTTTGGGAATTTTCTAATAACTTTCAAATTTATCTATAGATAAACTTTAGTGTTCAAGATTTATTCTCTGCCTTTTTTTTCGAAAACACATGCTTTGAATAATAATTCAATAAAACAGCAGTCACTCTTCATTTATACGTCATAGATTCAAGTGTCTTTAAGTTTTGCTTAGACTTACACCGATTAATTCGTAGTCATAATATTAAGTTGAACGATAGCTGACACTTGAGAATCGTTCTCTCCTAAGATAAAAGATAGTTAAAACACATAATTACTTCTGTTTGAATGATTGAAAAATGGAAATAATGGTTTATTGAAATTCGATACTAAGGTTAGATTATTTGCAAATCTAAATATTCTATTTCGTGATTTTGTTTCTGCCATCACTAGATGGTTATTTGAGTACATACTATTCATGCTACTCTCAAAAGTGGAATAAAAAAAAGAACACAAATTTATGGAAAACTTGTTATAAATATGTAAATTTATAATTCATGGTTATTTATTATTTCGTAAGTGTAAAATGACATTCATTAGTGACACTTTTTGGATAAATGATTTATTATAATACTTTCCTGATGAATGTACTGAGTACAAGGTAAGGTATCCTGGTACTACTATGTCACAAAAACTTTAGAATACTCTACTATTTCTTAGCACTTACTACATAATGCTTCTAAATATTCAATCTATTAACTTATTCAAACATTTTTTATAGAATGTTATAGAAATTAGGCAAGCATCTGCAAAGTACTTATGTATTGAGACAATTCGTAGTAGGGTATTCAACTAAGATCCTGTGACGTACTAGTAACACGGTACCGGAAAAGTTACCGTGCTGATAGTTGATCCAATATATGAGTGGGAAAAATTTACGTTATTGAATTAAAGAGGAACAAATTAATTTCTAGTAAAAGAAATCCCTGGAAATTATCAGCAACATTAAAAATCACTGTCAAGCGTTAAGAATGTTAAGACTAACTGGCAATTGTTAGAAATGATCGAAAACTATCATAAATAATTAGAAATCGGTAGAAATCAATTGAAATCATTGATTACCATTGAAAATCACGAGTAGTAAAACCAGACAATGAACCCATGCTTGTTTTTATTGATTTCTATGATCTCTCATGATTTTCTTTAATTTTAAAGACTTCTGATTATTTCTCTTGATTTCTAGTAAATAGATAAAAGCTGATTTTCATTCATAGAAATCATCAAATATCACTAGAAATCAAAACGTCACTTTGCGCTCTCCTTAGTTCTGCATTATTCATTCGAATTCTTATTAAAAAGACAAATATCTTATTCAAATGATTTAAAGATAACTCAAAAAATATTCCTGGTGTTTCATACTATAGTAGAGTCTGAATACATGATTTTGAGAATGAGCCTTACCGTTTTTATTTATGATCAAAAATTGCCATGATCATAGGAAACTAAATCTTGAGTTCCGATTTTCAATCCACTACTATAAGTACAGTTCACAGCAATTAGTGTCATGGAATAATCTATGTTGATAGTACATTAGATAAACTGTTTAATCAGAGTTCGATAACTGGGCGAATATTGTCATGAATGCCGTCATACTGCATACACACGTGAACAGTGTCGTCTAGCCTATATACTATTCAATTCAAATTAAAAGAAAGTTCCAGATGCGAGAAAAACTTTCTATAAAATTACGGTATAACATTTACCTGTAGAGAATAAATAATATCAAGTTTTGAATCAGTCTTGTGTAGTCAGAATCGAGTTGACTAGTGAAAGAATAAAAAACTCACTATGAAGAGGGAGCCAGTTTCATTGTTTAACAACTTTCCTTCATTGTTTTCTGTTAAAATCAAAACTTAAGATTGCATAGGCAGTTCATTGATGAAGAAAAATGGATTAGACTTCTCTTCTGTTTTGTCCATTATTTTAATGATAAGTTTAATCGAAGGAAACTGTTAAGATTTGTTAATCTTTATGTCGAATTCAGAAGAAAAGAAAATTAATTCAATAATACACTCACAAAAATACCTACATAAAAACGAAACGACCACTATTCCAATGATTGAAGAAAAAAATATAATAGTTTTCCAGACGATTAATTAACCTATGTTTTATTTCTGGAATACAATAAAAAAAGTTTTGCTTTTATTTTAATAAACAATAAACAAATATAGGATTACATGAAAAGAAAAAATCATAAATGATTTTTATGTTTTTAAACTAACATCACGACTACGATATACTCGACCGTTTTCAGCAAGTTCACGTTGAATACGTCGTGGTAATGTACCAGTAACCGACACAGCATACATTCCTTTCACGTGATGTGATATACGTTGCCATTTAGCAACCCATGATTCTTCTGGATGCATTAATGCAATCATTCCTTCAAAATTACTTGATGTACATTCATAAACACGATCATGATTGCCTTTCATTGAAAGATATTCTTCACAATTATCACAACCATCGTCTTCAAACATACCGGCACTTTTAATTAATGAACATATTAAACAGGCACGCAAATTACGTAAATCACGTGGCATACGACGTCTATCGTCTGACATCTACAATTCGAAAAACGAGAAGAATATTTTAATGAAAAAACGAAAAAAAACAATGTCGTTTCTTTCATATCTTTGCAAGAAAAGATAAGCCTGTTTTTTGTTTTGAACATACATGATACTCATTATCTGATTATATCCTATAAGACAAAAAAAAAAACTCGACACAAAAAAAAAAGACAAGATAATATTAGCACAAATTGATTCACTAAAAAAAGAAAAAGTCACTAAGACACTCACAGCAATACATACGTGCACATTACAATTGCATAAAGAGATCCGATAGAATAAAAATTTGAGAAAAAAAGAGCAACTATATAAAAACAAAAAGATACAATGTGTATCTAAATTATTCTACAATTTTGAGTCACTGATACATTCTATAATACTGTGTCAAAAATTAAACATTGTTTATAGTACAATAATTGATTAAACAGCTAAAATTTAAGAGAAAAAAAACAATGATTTGAAATTTTATATCAAAATATACTTGATGAATTTCGATCAAATTGAGCAAGAGTTGCACGTAATTCTTGTAATTCACTACCAATAAAATCATACACAAGTGCTCGAGATATATTATTTTTCTGACGTTGTTTTGGTGGTAATGGTGGTCGATATTCATCATCATCTTCATCATTATCATTAACTTTATCTTTTGGTGGTAACTGATAATGTTCTGATTGAATTAATCCTTCCGTATGTTGATTACTTAATGAAGATTTATTTATTGGTTTATGTTGTTTAGGCATAAGTATTGGTGCATCATCATCTTCAGATAATTGTGTTTGATTTGGAGAAGAAATTTTCTTTTTCTCAATAGTTATATAATTTAATTTTTTAGCATTTATTTGTTCATTATTGACTAAAGATTCATCATTATTCAATTTCTTTTTTTCATCTATTGAAGAATTATTTTGAGTAGTTAAAGGAATTTTTTCTTCATCATGTGAAGATATTTCATCTGTTTCAGTTTTTGTTATTGGACGATATATATCTTGAAGATGAGGCTTGACAAAAAAAATAAAATAATAATTGCAACAAAAACAAAAGTGAATTAAATAATACTTTTTTAATTGTTTGTTCTTGACGATTTAAGGAATGATGTTCTTTAGTTACTAATTGATCGGAACTTTGAACTTGTACATCAGAACTAATTTAAATATATAATCTTGATATTGCTGCTTTCTTTCTTTTATTTCAATATTAAAAAATAACTTACGATGATTTCGATCGTTCAATAGTAAGATAACGTTCTTTACGTTTAAGTTCATTTTTACCAACTTTAAGTTTAATAAATTCAAAAAATGCTTTTAAATCTTCAAATGGTGTTACCTATTTAATACATACATATTTATATATATATATATATATGTATAACATGCGGTGCAAAAGTTGTTTTCAAAAAAAATGTCAAACTCTATTGGCCTACACTATCGACTTACAAACCAATACAATTTGCTTTTGTGGGAAAAAACAATGTTGTCTGAATTACATGTTTTCCAGAGCGAATCTGAAAATGAGGAAAAGTCGAAGAGTAAACACTTGTAAAATAAAGCTACTGTGACATGTTTATAATTTGAAGAGTATGTATTTCTCAACTATTTTGTACTACGTAGTGCATCCGTCAGCTTTGATAAATCCTCTCAGAAAAAATGAAATTTTAATAAAATAGAGTCTTTTATAAGAACTATCAATTTTCAAGAATATCATTCATCATCAACGGAAAACTATATATAAACTGAATGGTGGTTGCATTAGTGAAGTAGTTCATATATTATAAAGAGACGCTATTGATAGACGGCCTTTGATAATTATATCAACGGCATCTATCATGGTTTGCGATGTCCAAATTTTTACCTCTATACTTCAGCAATCCTTTGAGATTGTGTTTTACAAAATAAATCAAAAAGTAATTTTTTTATCGTTTCTAAACCGTCGATAATAAGATCGATGAAATTATTCATCCTCTTTTAGAAACGCTACATTTTTGTATTCTAACTAGTAGTCAATTAGATTTCTAATATACTGTTAGCAAAAGCATTCGCTATGCTACAAAAAATCGTCATTGAACGATTCTTTTCACTTTTGTTCTGGTATTAAAAACAAATTAACAGAAAGTACAAAAAAGTGATGTCGCCAAATGGTAAAATTGCAAGAACTGTTTTATAGGTGTTTGATTCTTAACTTTTCATCCTTGTAAGATTCATTCTAGAAAACTATATCGAATACAAAAATTGTAATTCAGATATTATCCTTTCCAATAAAAACGAATTTAATTGAGTTAAAAACTGACAGTATAGTTCAATTGAATTTGACATTTTTATAAAGACTTCTACGTCGAAAGTTATTTTTTAATAAAAAATGTTTCTTCTTCATACTTGTTTACAATATTCTTCAATCGGATGTGTTCCATCATGTTTTTGTCCATGATCACCCGTAAAAAAACATGTTTGACAGAGATCAAAATTAAAACATCGAAGACAACGATAGCTATATAAAAAAACAAAAATTTTTAATTGTCTTGTTTTGTAAATGTAATTTAATTTATTCTTTTACCGCATGCCAATGAGTGGATATGTTTTACAAACGTTACATTGAGCTTCGTGACGAACTAGATGATAAAGAAAAGTTTTATTAGCAATGAATAAAAACGACAAAATAAATAAAACATATACCTGTTTCAGTTGCTATTAAACGATGTAATGTAGGTAACCATACTAATGTTTGTGGTTCACGACTCATCCAATTAACAAATATATCTTCACGAATAATTCCATCATGAGTCTAAAGTAAAAGCAAAATTTTCAAATATAATATCTTGATATTTTCTTTTTAGAAGAACATGAAGTTTTCTTAAATAGTATAATATGAAAGTTAAACAGTAATAAAGTTATCGTTGGTAAGTGAACAATTCAATGTGAATGCCAGGTATAAATAAGGATCTTTTGTGGAGTCTCATTCACACTTTCCATCTTATAAAATACGAATATCTTATACTATAGCTGCAACTTATTCTTACATGATCAAGACAACTTTGAACACAAGCAGGTATACTATCCACATGAAATGAATCAACATTATCAAAATGATTTGGTAACTAAAACACATAAAAATGAAACTAATCTTTCAAAAAGAAAAAAAAATTATTTTCTTACTTTTAAAAGTATTTCAAAAAGTTCTGTTAATTTAACTTGTGATGCAATTACATTTGGTGAAGTTATTTGTCGGAAAAAACCTTAAATATATTTTGAAATATTATTTTAATAAAAGTTATATATTTTGTTTCTATTTATACATCGATATTTTTCTGGTAATCTTGCATTTGATAATGCAAAAAGAATTATTTTAAATGAATTCAGATCAAAATCTTCACCTAATTTTCTAAAACAAATACAAAAAACTGACAAAAATAAAAAAACTAAAAATTTTTCAATTCTATTTACACATTAAGAATTTCACATAAAAATTTTAATGATGCTTCAACTGTTTCTTCAATAGTTATTTCATTAAAATGATATGATGATATCAATTGATAAATAGCTACTAAAACTATTCGTGCATTTTCAAATGATATTACTGTTGTATCAACACCAAATTGTAATTGATGAGTATTAAATGCTCGTACAAGAACATTATAATCAACATAACTTACTAAAATCAAAAACAAAAAGAAAATACATCAATTCAATTCTTCTTTGGCATTCGATAACTTACATTTTAAATATTTTTGTAATATACGAAGTTTACATGCAACACGATATGCAGCAAATTTTATTTTTGATAAAGATTCTTGAAAACAAAAAGATATTGATTAAATATGATTCATACAAAATAAAAATTTACCGAGTTTTTGAATAATTATATCATATAATTTCTCGCTAGAACTATAAACCAAAAAAAAATGAATTGATTAAAATGAAAATTTAAATAAAAAACAATAATATTTACTCGTTTTGAATAGTTTCTATTGTTGTCATTTTTTAAGATTATGACATCGATTTGATATATCAATATATTGTATAAATTTGTTTATTTATTTTCTATGAAATATATATAGTACATGGTAAGTTACATTTCGACAAGAAAAAAAACGATAGATTCAATAAAAAAATAATTTCTATTCGAATAAAAATGAAGTTTTAATTTATTTTTGACTGATTTATTTATTTTAGCGACATCTTATATAGAGTGTCGTTGCCTAGGAGCGCGATAGATTCGAGGAATATCAATGAAATCTGTTGAATTTATTTTCATTTTTTACGAATTATTAAACAACGAATATGTTCAACACACCGTATCGTGAGATGCCGGGCTCTGTAACGCTTAAATCAAACGTGCCTATGGAATATAGTCGAGCTGTATTATCAAATATTTGGTTAGTTTATATAGTTCTTAACTAATAATTTATTAAACTTTGTTTTTCAGGCATCAAAAGCGTGAAGCAGAGCCAAAAGATAATGATTTAAATACGATTCCGGTTCGAAATATGCATATTTCAACATATAAACATATTGCTGCTGATGAACAAGTACATAAACAATTCATAATTATATCTTTGTATTTGAAAATTATTTTGAATTATATAGGTAACTTTACCGAATTCAACCGCTAAAGATCAACAAGAACAACCATTTCGTGAACGACCTTGGTATGAGGAACATGAATATCCACGAAAAATGATAGATCGTTCAAATATTGATGTAGCAAATGCGGCTTTAGATGGGTTTGTAATAATAAATTTATTTATTATCAATAAAAATTTCTTTGTTTTTTCCTCTTTCTCTAGACTACTTAATCAAGCAGATCCACAATCAAAACATAATGTATTACCATCACGAAGTACTGCTGAACATGAACAAGCAATATTAACATCAACATATCAGGCTGATTTTCCACCACCATTTCCGTATGAAATGAAAACTGTGGCTCATTCGGAATATGCTGATAAAGTAAATTAATCAATTTATAAATAAAAAGAACATAAATATTCACTTTTTTTTTTAAATTTCAATAGAGTTATCCAAAATATCCCGATAAATCATGGGGATATCGAAAAATGGTTTCACATTTTACAGATTTAGATAAACCAAAACGAAGCGGTATTAATACATTTCATGTTCAACATGCACAATATGAAAATGAACAATTACGTAGAGATTTAGGTCATTTTAAACCTTCTCAATTTCAATGATTTATATATACACATTTATATTTTCTTTTTGAAATAAAAATAACGACAAATAATACTTATAACATATCACCATAAGTGAATATTCTCACGGTTAAATATCAAAAAGATAAATAAAATAAAATTGATCGTATATTTCACATGAACTATTTGCATTTGTTTTAAAAGCAGAAAAGAAAAGATTTTCTACTGTGTTTGCTTTCTTTTTTTGTATAATTGACTTCACATTTAAAGTATATAAAAACAAAGCAGATCAATACCAATGTAAACGTGATATATTTTCATAATCAATGAAAGATGAGTAGTAGTGTAGTTTATATATATGCATGAAGCATTGTCTATTTACTCGCCTTTTGTCTTCGTCATCACTACTAACAGCATTTGTACACAAAATTCTCTTCGATTTATTGTCTCGCATATTTGATATATATCCGATTCATTCTCTTGTCCCTGCTTGTTCTATATTTGTGTAAGTCAAATATGTCTCCTTTTTTTCTCTCTCTCTTACTCATACTCGATTTTTTTAGTCCTCTTATTCCTTCTCTTTCAAATAAAAGTGCTATCGAAACGATAGAACATAGATATATATTTTACAGCTTTAACAAAATAATTGTCTGTTTGGGTAGTATCTTTCTTTTAACATAGAAGACATTGATGCATTCAACTACTATCGACTGCAATGGTAATTTATTTTATATAAAGGTATGTCTTACATTTTGAAAGAAGTATAATATACGTTTCTCTCTTTCTCTTGAAATTGGATCCACGAGTAAAAGCAGAAAGAGAAATAGCAACAGAATGAGAAAAGCTGTAATACGGACCGACGGTATTGCAATAGAAAGTAAAAAAAGTCGTCCTTTTCTTCTTTTTTTTATTTTACTTTTTTCTCGTGTGCTCTTCACTGACCCTCGTAGTTCTTTTTTTTTATTAAATGAATCAAATTGACTCGGTTTGAGCTCCATTTTTTATCTTTTATGTTCTGGTTTTTCCGCATCGTCGTATATGTCACTTTGATTAAATGAAAACATGGGTCAATAGTGGCAGAGACATGAGACAGAGAGAGTAAGCAGTAGAATCTACTTATTTCTTTTTATTGAAATTGATCGTAAGTAAAGAAATCCCGATTAAACATAAGAAACTATTCAATATGCCTTATCTATGTGTGCATATAAAAATTCGTCAATGAGATGCTTGATAATAATCAGGTCGATTATGCAAATTAACTATTGAGTCAAGTGTGTATATTTATTAATAAAAAAAAAAAGAATATAAATCAACAATATCTTTATCCAATTGTCTTAAATCTAATAGTTGTTACCTTGAACATATTGCATTGATTTGACTTGTCACATATTAATATAAGTAAGATTTATGTTATTTATTCTGCAGGTATCAATAAAGACGCTTGATATTATCAATAGTGAATGACTTTTGTTTTAGAGATAAAAATAAAAACTCTACACTTGAAAATAACAATAGTGATCAACATAAATCACGGAAACTGAATAGTAGACAGGCTCCTATATTCGTAGTTCTAGATAATAATTATTTCCTCTTTTCTTTTTTCTTTCATCCTTTTTTTCTTCTTTACATCATTATTATCATCATCATCATCATCAAATTTTGCTCTCTGACTCTTTTTCTTTTATCGACGAGAAAAGACATACACAAGCTCTCGTTGTCATTGCATATAGCTCATGGCGTTTCCATGTTTTTCTTTACTACTTCAATGAGGCAACGCGTTAACATGGAAAAATTTTTTTTTAAATATTTTTTCTTCATTATTTTCTCTCACTCTCTGTTTCACGCTCTTTTTTTTACACATACTTTTTCTCCGTGTATTCATCGTTCTTTATCTTAATTCTATATAACAAAAAAAAAACGTAGTGAAATATGGTAGTAGAAGTTAACAAAAAAGAAAAAAAATATAACACTTCTATTTAACGGTGAGTGATAAATGAATGCTATACTTATGCTAGGACTATAGGAGTTACTCATTTTTTTTCGTTGTTACTATTTTAATTTTATTTTTATATTAACAAGAAAAGTCCTAGAATGTGTGAATAAATAAAGAAATGCGATCTGATTTTCAGGTATCGATTGAACATTTGTATGAAGCATGTATAAAATCGATTGTAAACGTTCAATCATGATCAGTATAAATGATCGAAAGTATATACGACCTTTTATTTAAACATGTATATAGCCGACTAAACACATATCACATTTATCATTCCGATCGTAAAGTATCGTATTCATATAAGAGAAATGATTTACATAGTATAGCTCAATCCGTTCTCATTTATGGATAGAATAGACGAAGGTGTATTATTGTTGTCAATACTTAATTGATTATTAAAACTCCGACATATAGTCAAAAGGATAATAAGCATTATATACACACTCAAATTTTACATGTCTTATTGTTTTTATTGCTGTTACTGCTGCCGGCATGCTATTTTATGATCACAAGTTTTGTTCTGTCCTGTTCTTAATCTCGATGAGAGAGAGAGAAAACGAAGAAAAATAGTCAAGAACATTTTTTTTTTTACACAATCATAAAATAAGACAGAATATGATGAAGAGAATGAGAGATTTGTATTTACAAATCTGAAAATGAGTAAAATAAGAGACAGAGAGAAATAGAAAAGCAGGTGTACGTGTTCTTTCTTCTTTTTTCTCATTACTATTGCCATCAATAATATCAGAAGTATATAAATATATGTGAGTAAAAAAAAAATAGAGAGAATGTGAAAGACATAAAAAAATTTGCTGACAACGACGAGAAGAACAAATTTCTGAGTTTTTTTTTCTCTTTTTTTTGGACAAATCAATTTATACTTCATCATGTCGCAATCAGCGACACTTATTCGAGTAGCTAAACATACTCTTGATGGAACTGCTATTTATCCTCATAATGGACAAAGTACGATTTATTATCAACCTGTTGATTTATCATCAACATCATTAAATTCTACTTCAACAACAAAATATTTAGCCTATACTATACAACGACCTCATGAACATCTCGTTCCACTGGCAAGTCATCATATGCGAATCATTGTTCGCATTTGTATTTGTATTTCATTTGTTGTCATTCGTCGTTGAGAAGAAGAAAAGATGCATTTGACAGTTTTCGCGCCTAGCAGCGACCGAATTCTCTCTCTTCCCTCCCTCTCTCTCTCTCTCTCTCTCTCTCTCTCTGCGTCCCATATTTGTTCTGTTTAACTAGAACGGAAGCCGAAATGCGTATAAGCAATGAAAGAAAGAAAATAATCTTATAACAAACGAATGGACATTGTCCCTTAATCCTAGAACAATCGAATTTTATTTCTCTTTTTTTTTCGTTTCTATCAAATAATGACCGCAGCCTAACATTTATTCGAGGAATCGATGAACAGGTCGTCGTTCTTATAATAATAATAATCATCATCATAGACGAGAAAAAAGCCTAATAAAAGAAAGAAGAAAAAAGAATAGTAATCGAATTTTTGATGATTTTTGAGTATGTATATTCAAGAAATAATTGAGAAGAAGTCGATAAATATCGTCTAAATTTCTTTTATTTTTTTTCTATATAATGTTATTTTTTTCTTTTTTTTCAATATTTTAGCGATCTATGAAGGTACATAAAAGCCTAACCGGTTTGATGTGAACAAAAGAAAACTTTTTCTACATTTTATCTTCTCTCTTAGCGCCTACTTTCGAATGATCTTTCAACATCACCACCAACAAAAGTACTTGCTGTCACCTCTAACGAAGAAGAAATGAATAACAACATAAATAACAACAATAGTTCATATAATCTTAATAATGGACATCAGAATGGTGATAGCAATGAAGCCAAAAAAGTATGTTAAATTGAATATGGATGAAACATTTCAATTTCTATATGCAATTATATTTGATTTCAAATTTTTACTATTCGAACAAAGATCGATTTTGTCACTATCCATCGTTTCACATAATCGAATTGTCGCAATAGAAATATTAACAAAAAAGACATCAGTTGAATGACTATTTCAGCTAACAGCAACTAATACTTAGTCTAAAAAAAAACAAGTTTCGTTCTTAAAGTTCAATTTTTACTACTATCATTTCGATCCTTATATTGTTCGAAAAATAAAAAATTCGAGTTCAAGTACCATACACAGAGTCAATCTTGAGTTTCATTAGAGTTGAAAAAAACAACAACACTATTCTTATTGTTCTTTTTATTTAGGCACGAATCGAAAAAAGTCCACCATCGCGTGTTGGTAAGTAAAAAAATCAATCTAATCTCTTAAAACTTGTATCATCTTTTCTTTTTTTTTTTTATTAGTTCATTTACGAAATATTGATGCAAGTGAATTAGAAATCGTTCAGTTTGGTCTTTCATTTGGTAAAATTACAAATGTACTTAATTTACGAAAAAAAAATCAAGTTAGTATAGAAGCCTTTTTTTGTATTCTTTTTGTTTTAATTAAAGAAAGAAAAAAAATTTGTTTTTATTTTTAGGCTTTCCTTGAATTTGACAGTATTGAACATGCACAAGCAATGACTGACTATTTTTCTTCAATACCTATATTATTAAATGGTCGACAAATATTTGTACAATTTTCAAATCATCAAGAATTAAAAACCGATCCAAATAATGCAAATAATCAACAAGCACAAGCTGCACTACAATCAGCAACAACATTACAAGAAATTGGACGAACAGGTGGACAAAATTGTGTATTACGTGTTGTTGTTAATAATATGATTTATCCAGTTAATGTTGATATATTTCATCAAGTAAGATAAAGAAATTTTCTTTTCTAATTTAAAATTTTTCTTTTGCTTTTAAGATCTTTAGCAAATTTGGTGTTGTTTTAAAAATAATTACTTTTACAAAAAATGGTAAAAAAACTATAATAAAATTTTTATTTGTGTTATTGAATAGTGTTGGATTTTAGATAAATTTCAAGGATTAATACAACTGAAAGATGCAACAACTGCACAATCCGCCAAATTGGTAAAAAATTAACTTGATTTTTAAGAAAAAAAAATTTAATTATTTTATATATATATTGTTTTTTTCTTCAAAGAATTTAAATGGTCAAAATATTTATAATGGCTGTTGTACATTACAAATTGATTTTTCTAAATTACATGCATTAAATGTCAAATATAATAACGATAAAAGTCGAGATTATACTAATCCAACATTACCATCAAGTGAAAATACTAATGAACCTATTTCAATCGGTGCAAGATATTTAACAGGTATAGAATTATCCATTTTTTCTCTTCAATTATGATAATTATTACTTTCTTTTTTTTCAAAAGGCATTCCTAATGTTTATGGTTCACCATTAATGGCATTTACTGGAGCTCCATTGACAACACTTTCTACAATGAACAATGGTGCTATTCATTTTCCAAGTAAGTGCTTTATTGTTCATCGCATATTTAATCGAACGAAAGATACTCGATAAGTAGTAATTAGTTTTTACTGAAGCATTGTATAAATCAGAGGGCTGGGCCGAATTGATTCGATATTAAGATGGGCGTCCATGGATCGAACCTTGAATAAAATATAAAACTATTCAAAAGATTTTGCATATTTCCACTAAATCTTTTTTTCGAAAATTCCATGTAATTCTTTCACCATCTGCTAAAACATTTCTGTTAAGAATAGCAAATATTTGAAGCGAAGATAAAATCTTCGTCACTTTAAAAGGTTTTCTTTATATTCAAGAAAATGTCATTATCTAGCTTTTTCCTCGTTTATCAACAATTACAATATGTTCATCAATTTGTTTTGCTAATTTTAATTTTATTCCTACTGAAACTTCTCAATCATCATAAATAAAACAGCATACATCCGAATCGATGAAATTTCTTTCGAGACAACAATCATCGACATATGCTTTTATTAAAAATGAAAAAACAAACATATCTTTATGTTATAAAGTTTTTTATTTTCCAACTGAAAAATCAGAAAATATTAGTGAATTCAAGAGAATTGAAAATTTTGAAAGTTGTCGAATATATTACCAAGCATGAGTTTATACATCATCTGCTGATACGTGAACTATGCTTGTTCAGTCATGCATTAATAATTAATCCAACGTAATTAGATGAGTAGCCCATGGACACCTATGGACTGGGCCGGATCAAAGGCTGATAACCCAAGGGTCGGCTTTCTTCGGCTCATCCTAGCCCATTGGTACCTCTAGGATGAATATAATTGTTAATAATTATTGAATTGTCCTGTTATCTTCTTCTATTGTAAGAGACTCTTCTGTTTGTCCTGATCAAAGATAAATATAAGCTAAGATATTTCCTATTCGCTGTTTTCATTAGGAAACAATTCTTTAAAGAGTCTCAAGAATATTCTATAGACGATCTTGTCTATCATAAAATTAGTTTCATATTGAATCAAACAAAGCTTTGTCAAAGAATGTTTTTTTTTTCAACTATTAATTATAAAATAAATTTAGCATCAACAGCAGCTATGTTAAATGCAAGTCAATTAGCTCAACAATATACAACAGCAATTGCTTGTTCAATTCCAAGTGGAACAAATCCTACTGCAACATTATTACAAACAACAAGTACAGCACAATCTCCATTATCATTATCAACATTACAACAACATGCTCATCAACATGCGCCAACTACAAGTCCATATATATTTCTTTCAGCTCCAACATCATCATCTGATGAGGTATGTGGAAATGGTGGTGGTACTAGTGTTGCTACTGGGAAAACTGCAACTCTATCTTCACCTTCTGCTCTTTATTTTTACAACAACAACAGTACACCCACCATGTACTCTGCTGACTTTCTGCGCTTGTGATATAGAAAATGTAATACACTATTCTATTCTTCTTACATTTTCTTTTGTTTTATATGCATATAATAAGGTGCTCTTTTGAACACTATTATCTCTTATTGAGCTCCTGCTTTTTTTTTCTTTAAGACAGTCCGTCCGCTTTCTCTTTTGTTTTTAGGCATTCCCTGTGAACTTTTTTTTTCATATTGGCAGAGCAAACGACAATCAAAAAGTGCTACTGCCTTGATTTCTTGTCTTTTGTTCTTGATTCTTTGCTTTGTTTTCTTTTTTTTTTTTTTTGGTTATTCAATTCAAATAAGCTGGAAAATAATGATCTGCCGAGTCTATACAGTATCTTTGTTTCCTTTTCCTCATCATTTGTAATACTCCCTTTGCTTTTTTTTCCTTTTTGTGTTCTTGCACATTTTTTTTTGTTTCTTATCTTTAAATTGGCAAGTGTGAATGACTGTCTCCTTTCTTCTTTTTTTCTCTTTTTTTTTCGTTTTTTATTAAATATCCTCTTCCCTTTCTCATGCAAATAAAACTTATGTCTGTTTCAGTTAATGCTGCTCCATTGAACTAATTATCTTATGAAGGTAAAACAATAATTATGAAATATAATCTTACACACTTACTTCCTCCTTTTTCTCTGACACATACACATTTACACAGATATATGTTCTCTTTTATTTACGTGTGATCTTATCAAATTTATCCCATCCAATTGTTTTTTTCTCTTCTTCTAAGTCATTCTTGTCCATATCTTCTACCTTCTTTTGATGATTCTTCTTTCTCTAGGATGATATTTCTATTGAACTATAGACATGAACATAGCAAAAAAACAAAAACGCTAATTAGATTTTTATTCTTGCGTTTTTATTTTCTTGTCAGGAATATGTTCGTGTCATATTGTTATATTTGCAATTATAAATTTCTCTCTTTCTCTCTCTCTCTCTCTCTCTATATATATATATACTTTATAGAGCAAACAGCGTGTGCCATTCTTTACCTTATTCTTTTGCTAGATCACAGATGCGAATAATAAATCATTTTTTTAGATAAAATAATGCTGCTTACTTTCATTCTTAATATCCTTTCTTTTTTGACCATCATCACACTATAAGTCCATTATGTGCTATTGATATTGTTTTGATTTCTTTACTCATTGACACATAATATAAAAATTCTTTCTTGAAAATTATTATTTCTTTAAACAAATATGTTTTTCTTAAAAACTATGTTAAAGAAAAAATCATTTGCTTATTGCTTTATCTTCTTTTTATTTTAAAGCACAGCTATTATTTCATAAAAAAATAATATATAGGATGTCCCATAAATAGCACTACAGCAAAAATTCAAATATCGGCACTTCAGTTCAATCAAATGGACTGTTTTCTTTAGGTCAGTGATAGAACTTTATTCAGAATTTTTTTGTTTTCATACGAATAATGTAAGCAAATACTTCTATTAAATATTATTGTTGACTTCACTAAAGAAATTTTATCTGTCATCATTTAAGAAAAATACATGTGAAGCATTCTATAGATAATTTTTAGTTGTCACCTAAGAAAATAACAAGTAGAAATCGAAACAAATTTTATAAGTGATACAACATTGATGGAAATAGACTAAATTTTCAGAACTAACATTTTTAATTGCTACAAGTCGTGCCTGAAAATTACAACGCATAATTATAGTTCTTTGGACATTGAATCACCAACTTCTTTGAAAAACCCGGTGTTCCATGCTTGAAGATTCAAAATATTGTATTCGTTGAGTTTTAACTTAACTACTATTGAAAATTTGGTCTATTTCCACCAATGTTGTATCATTTATAAAGTTCATTTTGATTTCTTCTTACTGTTCTCTTAGATGACAACTAAAAATTATCTGTAGAACGCTTCACATGTAGTTTTCTCACATGATCACAGATAAAATTTCTTTAGTGAGGTCAACAATAATACTTAATACAAGTATTTGCTTCCATTATCCGCATGTAAACAAAAAAACATTTCAATAAAGTTCTATCATTAACCAAAAAAAGAATTGGCCCATTTGATTGAACTGGACTGAAGATATTTGAATTTTTTGTCGTAGCACTATTTATGGGACACTATATTGAAGTATTAGAAAAATTTTTGATTCTGGTTTTGCTCTTAGTAATACGTACACTAGCAAAAAATGTGATATCATCTACTAGCAGTGCCAATGGGCTCGAGACATCTTTCACAATTCGCATGACCTCCAATGTCTTCTCCCTTGAAGGTACATGACCATTTTTGAATTCACTGATACTTCGTCTATTCTACACATTACCGTGTTCGACAACTCTATCGTTCACAAAAAAAAGGATTAATTTTACTATGAAAAGTATAACAGTGAATATTGAAATGCTCATTATTTAATAATTTTCCCATAAACTTTTAGAACACATGAGTCGTGAGAATATGTTATTTGACGCAAGTCTTGCATGACCATTAAAAGTATCACTCTCAATGAAAAACCTTGGTCCTTGTTCCGGCGAAATCAAGACAGGTGCCATCTTGTTTATATGTATACAAATAAAATCTGGAATAGTTTTCTCGAGATTGAGACCTTTAAAAAAGAAGAATAACTTACAGATAATTTGGATATTCTGCAAGTTTAATCATTAGCCTGTTTTGAATATTAACTAACAATTCAACTGTGTGTATTGTAACTCACGAACATTGAATAAAGCCGTGTCAGAAGAAAGGTTTCATCGGCAAATTAACAAATTTAACATGAACTGCTTATGACCTACATGGATTAAAATCTTTGAAGTTTAAAGTATTTACAGCATATATTATGTGCCAACAATTCAAAACTTCAACAGGATTTATTCTTCTCTTTTTTGATCCTAGTCGGATAGAGCTCTTCGAGTTGCATAAGAAAAGTATGTTTCATATGTAACAAAATTAAAGATTTTAAGATCTATATTGGAAACCTATTTGTTCTTATGCGAATCGGCAAGGTCTGTCCAATCATGGCAAAAGGAGTTAATTGACACATTATATTAGAGCCCGTCGGGTCTAACATTCTTGGATCCAAACTATACTTCTAATTTCAACGAGATTTTTTAGTTTAAGTCTGATTGTCGGTCCGAATTCTGTTATTAATACATCCTACACATTCCTCAGACAATCTATACAATGATCTTATAATAACCACGTCATAATTGACTGTTACTTTTATAGCATGATCTATTGATTAGATCGATTCGAACTCAGACTTATCCGCCTAGAATACAGAACCAACTTGACGGGCTTTACATCACAAAGACTGTAAATATCTTAAAAATTCGAACACCTTAATTTATGTACGTCATAAACCACTCGTGTCTTATATCGAATTAGTCAAGTTCACTCGATGACTTCTCATCTCAATTTAAAATATTCTCTAACTCAATATCGTTGAATAATGTAGCTATGTTCTATTATCTATAATCTAATACGTATGATGAAAACTATTATTCAAATAATTGATTTATCAAGATTTTAAGCGCCTTACCAATGTGTAATCAATACGTATTTTTTTATTTTTGTTTCTAATATTTGAAAATAAAGATATATTTATGATTTCTTATTATATTATTATTAATAAAAAATTATTTCAATGATATTTTTTTTAATTTTAATATTATACTTGTCGATAGTAAACAGTCAATGTTTCTTTTTTTTAAATCAAAAAATCAATTTCAATCAATATTGTAATATAGATAGAGCTATAAATTTTAGTGAATTAGCTTATCAAGAATGCTTACGATGTTTAATTACATTGCGACATTTAAAAAAAATAAATAAAATATGGCGTGATAAATGTAACAGAGATTTTCACTGTGTTGAATTTGTATTTTATAATAATACATTATTTGAAATGTTTTTTACTAATTATTTTCATATTTTAAATAATTTATTTAAAATACCAACCAATTCAAAAATTTATAATACATTATATATTAAAGTAGATAATGATAATTTCGAAGAATTAAATTTAACTTATATACAATCATTCATGAAACCGAATGGAATAGATTATTCTTATTTATTTTTTATTTTATCTAGTTATAGAAAAAAAATTCTATTAGACTTAGAAACAGATCTTTTTAAAATACCTTTAAATGGTATTGAAATACAGTTACATTGTGATAAAAATACAAAAAATATTTATTACGTCAGTCGATATAAAGAATCTCCAACTCGTTCAAATAATTGTGTAATAATTCAATCGAATGATAGAAAAACAATTTCTACAGAAATGATTACTATTAAATCTTCTACTATAATTCATACGTCAACAAAAACTCGTGTAACTAAAACAAATCTGTTTCTTTTTATTGGTGGTATTTTAGCATTTTCAATATGTATATTATGTTTATGTTTCACTGTATATTTTAAATATCATAAATGGAAAAATAATGATAATAATAATCAACGATCAAGTATTGTTTCAAATGCATTTAGTACAGATTCATTAGATAGTCAAAAAGATGATATTTCACTTTCTGAACAAAAAAAACAACATCACTCATTAAAACAACCAGGTCAACGTGGGTTTTATGTACTTAATAATGATTTATGAGTTAAAGACATTTATTAATTAAATTTTATTTATAAATTAAGCTTACAATAATACAAACAAAATTATACATGAGCATATTCAAAGAAAATCATGACATAATGCTGATTCTCAATATTTTTATAAAAAAAGATAATATTGCTAAATACAATTGTTGTGGTGTGCTCCAAAGCTTCAATGAAAACTAGTACCATGGTATTAGTGAGCACTAACTACATTAACGAGGGAAGTTCTCCAACTGATAAATCGCTTTTGAATCGAGACTATGGGCATTATGAAGACCTAAATGACCTATGAATATTTTCAAAAAGAGTTCGTGTCCTTAGTTTATTGCTGCAAAGATACTGCAATTTTAAGAGAGCTTTTAAATAAATGTCGTAGTAACAGAAAAAACTGATTTTCAAATTTCTATTTGAATCTTTGCATATGCACACAGGTCCTAATGAGAATAGTTTATTGTAAAAGTTTCAAGTCTTTTGATTTACATGTATTCTAAGATACAACTGTAATAATAACATGTTGTTTACATTGCTCATACGAGTCGCCAGATTTAATGCTCTTATTTCAGGATAGAAACAAATTACAAGATTTGAAACTCTCACAATAAACTATTTTCGTTAAGGCTTATCCTCAAGGGGGAAAAAGCGTATTTCTACCTAGAAATACGGAAATACAGAAATACGCTTTTCCTCCCTAAATTTCAATACACACAATCATTGTTATCTGATTTGCAGCTATATCTGATTGAAGCAAATTAATTAATGAAGATAAAATTGATTCAATATTTTCTTCTGTTTGTTCTGAAATAGATATTGAAAGTGCTTCAATACAACAACCTAATAACATTGAAAACATATCTTCTTTTTTTTCTGGAAATGTTCGTATTGTATTTGATAATGTTGATGTTATAAATTTTGTTATTAATATATCACGTTGTCTATATCCAATAAGTTTTTGATTAGCAGCTAATGTTTGAAGTTCATAATGATGTTCACCAAGCCATTGTGTTGTTGCTTGCATAATTGATGACCAATTAGTTTTATAAATTGTACGTGTTAAATCAATATTTGATTCAGCTGAATAAAAATTTCCACCATGAGAACTTTCATCAATATTACCACCACTACCACCAGATTCATTTGGTAAGATTAAAAAAGCATAATCAGTTAATACTGCAAGCGAATGATGCATAAGAATATTTAATTCAGGTCGTACAAGCATTAATAAATAACTATTTGGATTATTTTTTTCTTCATTTTGTCTTATTGTTGCGACATTATAAACATCAGCCCATGCTCGTAATACAGCTAAATTTTCAATTATTAAAGCATTTTCACTATAGATTATTGATATATCATTTTTATGTTGTTGTATTGATGTAAACTTTTGTAATGATGATACAAGTAATTGATGTACACGTCGTAAATCATTTAAATAATGTGCAACACCACTTGATATCCATGTATTACATACATCACANAAATTACCAATTTTCTCTTTTAATTTACATTTTGTTGAACACTATTGTTCAGAGTTAAACTTCTATTTTGAAAATTGTTTTTTGTCACTCTTAAAAAAGTGTCCTCTTTCTAGAAAAAAAAAGTCGAAAAGTAACTTATACTTTAGACAAATTATACGGAAACAGTTATTACTCAGCAAAAAATTAGAAATATTACGTTAGTTCTTTTCACTTATAGCGATCTCATCATGAATACTGGAAATATTCTAAGCATAAGAATGAAAATTTTCAATGTACGATCTATCAATTCATTCAAAATGGTAACTATTCATAGAGATTGCAATCATAAACCTTGAAATTAAATTATTATAAGTGTTTTATAGAGAAGGTTTTATTATAGAATAGTTCAAACGGAAGTCACAAATGAGTTTTTTCTGTGCATTCTCGATAGCATTGAAGGAAAGACTAAGTTGAATCATCTTTATCAATATTTTTCTCGCTCATAAGCTGCAATAAGTTGAAAGTAGGATGAACAGTGTAAAAAATAGCTAATGCTATAAACAATTCTATATTTATTTCTCAAATATATTTGTAAAGAACATAATAAAAGTCCAACATTTAATATCTGTACATACTTTTAATAATTTACTGTGAACAGCAGGTTTTTATTGATAAATTTAGATTAAATGTAATTTTTGCACTACTTAAATTAGACAAAGTTTTTCGGTAACATTTAATCATTGAGTGAATATTAGTCGATATTGGCTTCGTAATAATTTTCCTATTAGAAAAACATTAATTAAGAAAAATCCAATGACATAAATTATAAAAAACGCGAAGAACGTCATCAATAAGCATCAACAAGTTAATCTAACAGACCGAATCGATCTATTACGGTTGATGCTCGAATCAACATCTAATGAAGATTTCATTCAAGTACATAGTTGTTATTTAGAACTTTAGAGCATCAGTTGTAATCAGCGATGAAACACGCATTGACGCACCACTTATTTGAAAGCTTATCAATTACGACATTGTATTCACAACTGCTGTCCTTTAGTGAGTCTGTTTTACTAAAACTATTTTTTGATTGTCCTTTTCCTTTCAATAATTGCTGTTTATAAAACAGCAAATACAGCACTTAGTTATATTTCTTATGTTCTTTCAACTCATCCGAATAGATAACAAAAATTACAATAAGACATCAATGCTCATTTTAAACCTGAGACTGAAGACGATATGCTATCATACGATACAATATCTGACATGGCCTACGTGGGTATGTTTATTCGCAACTCTTCGCATGTATCCTATTGCATTAGTAGTAATCAATCGCCAAAGTACAGAAGATTTTCATATCAAAGATATTGCTACAATTTTAACTGATTCATATATTGTTGCTGATATATGTACAGTGTACATTTTGATTCTAATTTATGGGATCCTATTGGTTTATGTACATTTTATCATGAACTATTTTCCACGAGCCGACATCAAATTTTATGGATTCCATATGGAGTGGCATCGTGAAATTGTATTGGAACGCGTTTTGCTTCGATAGAATTGAAAAAAAATATTTGCTAATTTATATTTCTTGTAGAATGCAGAGACCAAGATCACCAATAATAATTTTTTTTCATAATATCTATTTTCTATTAACTTTTTACCTTGGTTTTGTCTTAACAATAGATAAAAAATCACAAGAAAAAAAAAACAATTTATTTAAACACTAAAAGGTCTTTTAGTTCTATGATTTCAAAATTCTTTTTTAAAGTACAAATAGATTAAACTTTTTCGGCATTAGGAATAACATTTTTAATTTTTGTTCCATTATTCATTTGTTTATTATTATTAGATGCATGAAAAGTTAAACAACCAGCATGCAAGATAAGTAAAGTATCGTTGGTTAAAAATCCCACACTCCATGCTAGAAAAAAAGAAAATAGTAAAAAAATATGATCAATATAAAACTTACGCCATGGTCTATATTGAATTGATTTTTTTTCACCTTCTGGCCCAATAGCCCAGATTTTTTTGTTACCTCCATCTGTTACAATAATACCACGACTAACTGAATCAACAATCAATCGATTCATATTATCAACATTTATTTCATATAAATCAATACGACGAATAAGTTGACCTAATTAATTAAAAAAATAAAGAAAAAAATCCTTCAATCAAATTAAACTAATCACATTTACCATTTTTTTGTCGTTTTTCAAGAAAATATCTTCCTGGTTCACGTTCACGTCTTTTACCTAATATATAACAACATTGCATATCAACACCTAAACTTCGTATTTCAACACCAGATTCAAACGTTATTTGTAATTGTAATTCATGATCAAATACAGATACTTTAGATTTATTACAACCTTTTTCTGATGCATAAAAAATAAATTGTTCATCTGATGCAACACGTTGACAATTAAGACCACGTTCAACAACACGTTCACGTTCAAGTTGTTTTCGTGTTAAATTACATACATATAATTTACATTCAATTGGTTTTGATGCTTGTTTATGTTCACCTACTATAATTATACTATCATCATGATAAATACATAAATCTTTAATATCACCATCTGACCATTGAATTCTCTAAAGAGAGAAAAAAATTACATTTTTTTGTTTGTTTGTTTGTTTTTATTTTTGTTTATTTTACTTCATTCTCATGTCCATTAGCATCAAATATAACTAATGAACTTTTATCTTTATTATAAAGTAATATTAAATTTGTATTTGTTATTGCTAACATTCCCCAATCAAAACTTTGTGAAAGAGGAATTTTTTTACATGATTCAATATTACAATTATCTAATTTGGATTGAAATGTTGCTGTACGAATTGTTGTTGAAGACATTTTCTGATTATGTGTTGCTATAGATAGATCAGCTATGGAATTCGAAACAGTTTTTGCTAATATATTTCCTGAAACAGGTGGATGAGAACGAAGATTTGTATTTATTGATGGAGATGGTCGTGTTGTTTGTTGTTGTTGTTCAGATAATGTATCGTTTTTATTATCATTAGATAGATTTTTCGATGTTTGTTGATGATGTGTAATAGTATTGAGTGATTTATAATGATTTCCTATACCATTTGCATTTGTTTTTATTGTTCGACGATTTGTTGGAGTAGAAATCTTTATCTGATCATTATTTGTTGAAGAAGCTGTACTACATGAGTCTATATAAATAGAAAAACAAAACAAAATCCATATGAACAGAATAACAATAAATATAACATACCATCTAGATGATGATTTCGTGTTGATTCAGTTGAAGTTACTAAATTTTGTTTGCAATTGATCATAATTAATTCATCTGTTTGTGATGGCGAATCAACATGTTTATTATAAGTTTTCTTTTTATAATCGTCATTATCAAATTCAAATATTTTCATTTCTGGTAAACGTTCATGAAATATTTCATTTGCTTCATGTATATCTTCTTGTAAGTGTGTTAATTTTAATTGTAATTGTTTAAATTGTTCTATCGTTGACCAATCTGTTATTATTATTCGTAAATCTTGTATTGCTTTATTGATTTGTTCACAACGTTGTTTATGTTCATCAATAAGTAATTCAAGTTCATTATTACAAATAGTTGATTGTCTTTCAACAATTTCTTCATTTGTTATTTGTGCACAACGTAATTCATCAACTAAACGTGTATAATGTAAACGTATTGTATCAATAGATTTTTGTCTTGTTTCAATTAATTTTTGTCTTGCATGATCAATTTGATCATTCATAGTTAAATATTCTTGTTCTAATGTATTTATATTATTTGTTAATGTTGTTAATGCTTCACGTCTATGTTGATTAGCACATTCAAAACAAACAAATAAACAACAATGTGAACATTTAACAAATGATGGTGATTGATTACAAACATGACATTGTCCAGTTGCTTCAACATGAAAATTACATGATTCTATAAGATCAAGAACGGTTTGATTTATGGGTAAATCTGTATAATTATTTATTGTTGAACATATTTCTTTTCGACAATTTTTTACGGGACAATAATGATTCAATTTGTCATTGTCATCATCTATTGTTAATGAAGATTCTTGATGATTCCATTCATTTTCAAGACATGTTGTACCTAATTATATTTTATAGAATTCTGTTGTTTCTTTTTTTTTTTTTTTTTGTTTAATATAAAATTAAAACTTACAAACAGTATGCCCACATGTTGGTAGAACTCTCGGTTCATTATAACGTTGTGAACAAGCTGGACAATTGACAAGTGTTTCAAGAAGATGACGAGGTATTGCTGCTGCCATATGATGATGCTAAAAAGCAAAATGGAACTGTTCTCAATATTGTACAATTCATTTAATATGATCATCCTTGTAATGTGTCTGGATGTGATTTTACAAGGACAAAGAGTCAAAAAAAGAAAAGAATATATAAAAGGAAACATATTTGTAATAAAAAAAAGCAGATCTCAAATGTACATTTGTATATATATATATATACATGATAGGTAGGAGGTTAAGTGTTTGCCATCCTTCAATGTACATCCTTCATACTTGTAAGAGAAAGAAATGATCGTTGGTATAAAATAACCATTTCTCTCTCTCTATCTTACCTGTCCATCTCTCTTATTCGTTCTTTTTTTAGTACACACATTGTAATTTTCATCGTGTGAATATTTGTTCAACAAAAAAAAAAAGAAAAAAATTCGAAATATATAGAGAAAAAAGAAATACATGTATGTAATTATCGTTCATGACAGAACGTCCTCTTCATCACACATACATATGTATATACATATATATGTACATATATACGTCGTAATCATTTGGTTGTCCACTACACAAGTCACGCTTGAATTGACCATCGAAAGAATGAGTCGATGTATATTGATAGTGAATCTAATGCGATCGAAGTTGATAGAAAGAAAGAGAAAGAGACAACGAGAGGATTTGTATTGTACATATATGCTCAACGAATTTGGATATGTATGTGTGCATATCATGTCTACATCGAAACTAATTTATATGTGTATATGTATAGAATGCTAACCTTTTTCAACCTTATAAGTTAGATTGTTCGCATATATAATGAGCACGTCCACATCATTTGATATTGTTTCGTTTCATTCATTGTATGCATTGACAGCAAAACAGAAGCCGCACTAATGAAAAAAAAAGAAGCGGTAACTCTTTACTAAAATCATTCTGTTCTCTTCTCTTCTTTTCTCTGTTCTTTCTTTTTATTATTGACATTAGGTTGTCTTTGTCGGTATTACTGATTTTCAAAGTAAAATTGATGAAGATGTATTCAAGCAATGAATATGATGGTTGGACTAGTCATCAATCGAGCAATGACAAGTGAGTGTCAAGAGACAAGTAAATAATCGGCTCTTGTCACTCGACCTTTGGCTTAGTATAAAGAATGATAGAGAGAGAGAAAGTGAGAGAGAAAGAATACGAAGAAAAAAACTATTAAAGAACTTGAGACGTGTCAAATACGTGAGTAGAGACAAATATACTTAAAAAAGATTTCATTCATATATAAATGTATTTATAACAATTCTTTAAGAATATATGTGAACTTGTTTCATTTGATATGGAAAATTGTTCTCTATATAAATTTACGATGAGTGAAAATGTTTGTAATTAGCAATTTCTTGATGTTTTATTTAGTAATTGAGATGGATTGTTTAGATTACTAAGTAAAATAATAGTTCATTGACAATTAAAGTGTATCTTTCAAATGTATTTAATTGATTTTTTTTTCTCAAAACTTCGATAAATGATACACGTAGGTAAAACTAATAGGAAAAAGGAAATCATTTATTATGCAATAATTATCTCATCAATCGCATATTGATGGACCTTCTTTTCGTTTCTTTTGGTGGTATATGGATATGTTAAATTTATACTTGAAGCTTTTTAAAAATTCAATGAATTCTTATCATTGAACAAACAATCTGATTCGCTATTTGAGATGAATATAATTTATTAATTGTTCTTCTACATACCAAACTCTATTATCTAGTTAAAGATGACATATTTATGAATAGCAATGAAAATACTTTATTTCTAAAATCCTAATGTTCAACTCAGATACTCAATAGCAGAAATTTTGCATGATAAATGAAGTGTTCAAGAGGCTTACTTTTATTAGTCCCAGATGTACAAATAAACATATAATTTGTTTCATATGTTTGACCAAGATGATTTGTAAGCGCTTTCATGAAAAAAAACAAACTATAATGATATTAAATTACTTTAATACCAATAATGTCTTCCTTGTCAGATTTAACAGAACACATTATAATGTATCCACGAAATAATAAATATGATTAAGAACATGAAAATTGTATTAATGTGTTACATTGTTTTAGTGAAAATAATGCAGAAAAATACTTTAAAATTGCGATGTATGGGAATCAAGTGAAAATGTGAAAGGAAACACATTATATCACAAATAAAAATTAGAGAAAAGAAATTTTTATAAAATATTTTTCAGACACATTTTTTAGCCTTCTCACTTGTGTTTCTTACACCTTTTAGAATTCGATTTAATTTATGATGAAATTATTTTTTCTTATGTTTCTGATGCATACCTTTTCTACATTGATAATGTTTTAATAGTTGATTAAAAACTGAAATTCGAATTGGATCAACGACAAAGTAGATAGGCTTTTTCTTCTATGATGTTAACGAACGCTCTCATAATAATGATGATAAGTACCAGTAATTTCAAGTTTATAGTTCTCCTACTCAAGTGCCTATATTTTTTGAATTCAGCGCTACCATAAACTTAAAAAATATTGACTATGAATTTTTCAATATCAGCTTATTGTAGACACATGTTTCATCAAATTGTACGGTAATAATAATAAAAAAGTGGTGATAACGATGGCACCAACCATACTGATGCACTTTGTACTGATGGCTGTTGTAAATATGATTTTGTTTAAGTCGATTTCCTTTTTTTTTATTGAAACAAAGATGTTGAATGTCTTGTATGATACTGATTGTTTTGTTTCTTTCTTCTTTAGATATTTATCACAAACACAATATCGACCGAATACTTTCACTTCTACTTATAAGTGCACTTCACATATTAATATTCGAAAAATGAGTAAAATACAATTCATGATTGAATGACTCTTTGAAATCTGATATTCAATGGAAAATACCAAAAATTTTTGGCGAAAAAATTTTCGAAATGCAAATTATTCATAAACATTTCCTGTCTACTACAAAAAAAGATTTATTTCATAAATAGATGTTAACTAGAGTAAAATTTTAGTAAAAAAATATTATAAGTAATAGTAATCTTGATAAATAAGTTGAATCTGATTGTCTTTCCACTCAATGATTCTGCAATGAAATACGTTGACAGTATTCTTGAAGTCTTCCTTTAGAATTTGTATTCATTGTTTTCGATAAATGCTTGTAATATATATATGTACTTTTTTGTCGTCTTTTTTTGTTTGTTTACTCATTTCTTTCTAAGCACAGAAAGAAATACGAGAGACAAATATTGACTCAGTAAATATAATAGACGCACATACTATCAATCACCTATCTTTATTGTTCGATACAATTAAAAAATATCTATCTGTCAATATAATCATTTCCAATGACTACAAAAAAAGAATCTTCGGAGAAAACATGAGGTTTTTTTTTTTGAAACTGGAATAACACATTGCATCGAATGATATACTTTTCGCAAGAACATGTTTCATAAATACATCAATAAAATTTCATCCATTCAATGATGACACAAAGACAGTGGAACAGGAGAGAGTATTCAAAAAAATCAGAGTAAGGCTTAGTTCAAAGTAATAGCGTCCTGAGGCAGTCAAAATTAAGTAGACATTATGCAAATTTCTTTTCTCGATTAGAAATGTATATTAATATTGCCACTTTCAAGGAATTTCCAAGTAAACGTCAACTTTTAAGATAAATTCCTAAATTTATACAGAACTTGAAATTATTTGCTGCATAGAAAACATTAGTGTGCACTTTTAACAACTTCTATTTTATTGTGCAATGTTTTCGTATTTAGCTCGAACAAATTTTTTAATCTTTTTCGATAGTTAGGCTAATAACATTTGTTAAGTAACGCGATTATTAGCGGATTTCATTAGAAACTATCAAGCTTGTGTAATGTTCTCGAAAAATCAACAAACCTATTATACCATCGAAAGTAGCCGAGATTTTAACTACACTTACAGGTTGTAATCATCTGATCAGCTCTGCTTTGTAAGAATATTTTTAAAATCTTATCAATTTCATTTACTATCGACAAGGATGATTAAACTCTAGCAGTCACTTGAGAAACTTGAATGAATAATTCGAAACTAGGTTGTCAGAAAAACTCTACATATTTTAAGAAAATATCTGAACTTGCCTCAGGAAGTAATCAAGTTTTCCGATGATTTTTATCTTTATCTCTTCTCCGGTCATACCATGCTTACATTGATTATTTTCTGAAAAAATAGAATAGACTTATCAAGATTATATTTAAGAGAATCCAGGATTATTTTTCAACCAACATAATAAAAAGTTTTAATTAAACTATGAATCATGGCAATCGAAATATGATTCAAAACATTGTTCGCAATGAAGGGCCTCATGACAGAAATCACAACTACATAAACAATTCATACAAAAATGTTCTCCGCAATGTTCACATTCACTTTGGTTTCGAGATGTAAGTGATTTTCTGCAATGTGAACATTCATCCATAGAATTCGTTTCTTCTGAATTAGGAAGTGTTGTTTGTTCGTTTATAATATAGTGTAATGGTGATTGAAAACCATAACATTCAGGATCATAGCATTTTTGAAAATAAGTTCCTTTGATGGGATCAACAATGAAGTAGATTTGATTCTTTTTGTGATGTCGTTTAACATTTTCACAATAACGATAAGAACCAGTTATGTCAAATTTATATCTCCCTTTTGAATCTGGTGGTGATATTTTACGAATTCGTCCATCAAATGCGCCAACTTTAGTAGCTATAAAGTTTTTGATATCAGCACATTGATTAGGTAACTGATTCATCGAATCAGCTAATACAACTTGAGCGTATGTTGGTGGTGCTTCGGAAGATTCATCAGAAGTTATGACTGTTGAAGTTTGTGAAGATGATGGAATTGAGACTGAACTCACACTTCTAGCAAGTAAACCTTCCCATGCTTTTTTTGCTGCCAATTGTTCTGCTTCTTTCTTTGATGAACACAGATTGTCACCGACATACCAATGACCATCTACTTCGACTTCAACCTAAAAGACAAAATGTTCTGTTTGTCAAATCAACAAATGAAGTAAAACACAAATAGTTATTAAGATTAAGTTGCTGAAGAAGCTGCACACATTCGTATATTTATAACTTGTTTATCTTGGTATCTTTTTTTCATTTTTCTAACTATTATATTATTTACCTGAAATTTCAAAAGATGTGCTGGGCCAGATAGAGTTTTGATTCGATAATTTGGCAAAAGAATCTTATTTTTCTGACAATATTCCTGAAGACGATTTTTCCAAGTTGTATCCATGATATTTAGTGAAAATCTGTAATCCTTCACAGTATTATCTTTTATTTTAAAGATATTTTTCGTTCCTGCTCTTCCTTCTCTCTTATTTAAAACATGTAAAAAAACATCGAAATAATCATTTTCATGAAGCTTATAAACATTTGTCAATGACTAATGTTCTCCTTTCTGCACAGGTAATGCGCATGGTTTCGAATGCATTTTGTGGAACTCACATATGTTTTCGAAGAAAATAGTGAGTGTAAGTTTTAAGTTCGACTTTTTGCGGCTCCTCCCCCTCCCCTTGCAGACAGGCTACCATTACAGACCATAGCAACTCCACAAAAAAAAGTAAACATTTTTTTAATGCAATAGTAGAAAAAAATCAGTGTAAAAAATGAGAAGAAATTTTGACTACTTTGGCATAAGCCAGAGTATTGTGGAAAAGTTGAGATTAATAACATTCGTATACTAGTATTCCTGTAAGTTCAGTTTCAGATTTTTGTCCACATAAAAATGTATTNTCTTTCGAAGATAAACGTACTACTTACAAAGAGATACATGTTTCTATGTATCTCTTTGCATGATAAGACCAGTCACAACTAGGTCTTATTATATGAGCGATTTTCCGTTATCCTATCCAATTAGCTTGTGACGACTCCATTTTAGGTCATGTAAGTTGAGAAGAAGTTGTCATACAAAAGAATATTTTCCATAGGATTAAGTTGGTTTTTCAAAAATTTCAGCTCGAATAGAAAGCGTTGGATGATCAATACTAACTAGAACGCGTAAGGTTGATATCGGGCTCTATCGGATCGGAAGATAACTGCTTGAAATGTCAGATAAACAGTTGATGGTGTCTCTGTGTCAGAAGAACTCACCAAGATAAAATAATGAAGTTGTCCTGTTTCAAAGAAAAGGATTCCCTGAGATACAAAGAACATTATAACTTTTGATATCGAAAAGCGTATTTTAATAGTTTTGGACAAGTTTATTGAATTAAAATTGCAAATGTACGTGCTGGAGTTATTTGAAAACTAACACAGTACATAATATAATGAAGTCGTTTTTTGAAAACAAAAAAAAAAGAAAAGGTTAATCTTACTTTGTTACAAGTGTACTCATTGCTGTAACGCCAAGAGCATTTGATATAATAGAATAAGCTGGATTTTGTGTTGGTGTTTCATCATTAACTTCCATTTTAATTTGTACATCTGAATTTTGTTCAGTTTTAATTCCAACATTTTCTATAGCTGATGGATTTTTTGTTTTAACATAATCAATCATAAAATCATATCGATCATAAAATTCACCAGATTTGATAACAGATGTTAATGCTGGTAAAATCGATGTACGATTATCAACAATTGATAATGGAATTGTTGATGAAACACATGTATAAAATAACTAAAATAAGACAAAGAATGTTTGATTTTATTTTTTTGGAATAAAAATTTCTCATAGAAATTACTTCTAGACATTGTTTTATCCAATAATGTTGTCCAAGATATTCCCAATTTTGTGATAAAAATATAAATAATAATCTATCATGTAATGTTTTTCGCAGATTTTTATCTAAGATAAGAAAAAATTGTTTTCGTAATTGCTGATTTGTTGATTTTAAACCAAGAATAAATGCTGCTTCTAATTTAATACATAATTCACGATAATTTGTTTCTTGATAAACATGTAAAATAAGTTCAAGAAAACTATTTGTTAAATCATTATCATTTGTTTGTTGATGTTGATGAAAACGTCCACTTTTATCAATACATTGTAAAAGTTTAAGAAGTAATTGAGATTTTTCTTTTAATGATGGAACTAATTGTACATCACCACGCCATTTAAGCCAATCATATACAAGACGAATTATAGCTCGAACAAGAGTTATATCATGAGATTTTTCAATTAGGCACTATAAAAAGAAATCATATAGATAAGATTGTTTTCATTTATTCATATTTAAAGTCAGTAACTTCAAATAGAAACGGATAAAATTAGATATTTTCGGACTTTGTATCTTTTCTAAGAAATATTTTCTTACACTGGTCTTAATTTACCGTACGTAGTCTATATTTTTCTCATCCTAACTGTAATTTATGCTACAGGATACAGCAGAGTATGATTGGCTTACAAGCTGTAGTTTCAGACATGAGAAGAGAATGTGAACAAAATATTGGTTGCGTTTGGGAATGCAACAGTGGCTGTGCAATGTTCATCGTACTGCCAGTGATATTGATCCAAACTTCATCGGTGCATCAGATCAAACATAAACGTATAGTCTAACGGTGAATGCAGGACAAAATTAAGATGATTTTGGATTGATTTCGATTGAAGAGATCATTTCAAGAAAACGGCTCAGGCTTATGAAAATGGACTGAAGGTTTTCGGGGTCGACGAACCGAATCTATAGAAAGTTTGCCGAAAGTTTCTTATTCAACAACGGCTTCGTTCTTATAGTTTGATGATGTTTTATAAAATTCAGCTGTTTTCTTGGAATAGGTGGTCTTCCTTCAAGCGAAAAAAACGAAATGAATCTAAGATCACTGTCTTTACCGTTATTCTATATTTGCATGTCTACACTAGTGTAGCGGTCTACCTAAGACCGGTGATCACTCTTGTATGCCTAGTTGTGTTATCATTTTAGATTGTTTTTATTTTTGAACGAGCTCCTCCTATTGTCTTTTTTGTTTTCATAAATCACGTAACGCTTAATATGGTGATTGTGGTATCGATTGATTTAAATCACATAATATGAAAAAATATTATTCAAAGATTAAAGTACTTCTCGATGGAAATATCACTACAGGTATATTGTTTTATCTCCAAATATCTATTGCAGTTCTATGCATAATTCTGTATCAGTACTAAACATTAAGTTTAGTCCTAATAAATATCTCCTTGTTGTCAACACAAAAAAACAAAAACTAGTGAAACATCTTTTTCAGTTCATTCTCGTCGCATCTACATACTGTATATCTAACACAATTTCGATGTACTTACTGGTAGGAAATTATTCATAAATTGTTTACGAAGATCACTTGTTAATTGACCAATACGATATTTGAGTAATGTTAAACATTCAATGATATATTCTGTGAATGCTATTTTGATGATAAAAAAAAGAGAAACAGAAAGAATTGATAGATCAATAAGAGATTTATGTCATCATTTTTTTTTTACCAGGATTATAGTCAACGCCAGCACTTGTATGATCTTTAATTAATTTTTGTAATAATTTTGTAATATGTGGTGTTAATTTATCAACATATTTTGGTTGTTGTTTTTCGATTATTTTTAAATAACCAAAAGCAACAGGAAGTGTATGAATTGAAACAAATCCCGATGATGAAACATTTGCTGTATTAGCTCCAATTGTTGTTCTAGCACTAAAATGAATATTTTCTTTTTATCAAATTTAAAACATGAATCATGAATTTTTCAATTCAAAATGATTAAAACAAAGGCTATATGCAATTTAAAACGGATTATTTTTATTTTCTTTTGCCGTTTTAGTTAACTTTAGATTGTATTAATGTTTTCTTTTCTAACTAGATTTAATGAATACATTCTTTAGTATAGATTTTGTTCTTTTCAAAGTCATATACGATAATATATATTGATATATATCTATTAAAAGCACACATATATATTTGTCGTATTCATTTCGTTCAATAATAATTTTTACTCTTCTAGTTGATCAATCGGACAATGGTCATGGATGAATGAGCATAATAATGTCCTTACTATGTCTGAACTCATCAACACTTTTTCTCTCTTTCTTTTCGCCTGTTCATTTATATTTCGTCTCTCCTTTTCTACAATATACTCATTCTATCGTTCCCTTACTATACAATCGGTCAATCGTTATACTATTAATACAGGTAAACAATTTTTTATATGAAAAAACAAAAAAGCAAATAATATATTTCTTTTCATTAGAATATCATTAGATTATTCCAATGTATACAACAAATATTCGTCCTCCAACATTTTATCATCATTATACAACTCAATTTTTTCCTGCAGCACCTGATGGTCAACCTCGTGTAGGTAAATATGGTGGTAATAGTATGTTACTATCACGATCTCAATATATATATTCATTTCGTTTGTCTGGTATAATACTTGGTAGTTTAATTTTATTTTTTACTATTATTTTATTATCAACTGAACTTGGAAGACTTTATAATGGTTCAAATAATCGTGGTAGAAATGAATCAAGTCCTATATCAACATATTCAATGTATCCAGGAAATACAGTTGGTATTAATGAAAAAATTCAAAATCGTAAATTAGAAAATCGTTGGATGTGGCCATGGTCAACAGCAACATTATTATTTAGTTTAATATTTATAACTGCAGGTGTATTTGGTATAATAAGTGGTCAAAGAGAAAATTATTCATTAATATTAACATTTTTTATATTTTCATTATTATCAATATGTTTATTAATATTTTTAATAGCAACATATTCAACAATAATATCTGGTTGGAAAAGTATTTATGGAACAAGTAATGAAGATTTAATGACAAATTATACACGTATTGATAGAGATTTATCAATTGTTTGTTTATCAATGTGTTGTGTTTTATTTATTATTTTATTAGTTAGTATGATTTTATCTGGCATAAGTATTGAAATATGTACAAGAAAAAAATTTTTCGTAGAAGAAAATGATCCTGATAATTTAATTAGTTCATATAAACCAAATTTTGGTCAATAAATTAATTTAGAAAAACAACAACAACAATAACAAACATTTTATATTCTAGCTATTTGTTTTCACTTTTTTTTTCGTTCTATGTCTTTTTTTTTTTGTTTTTCTGAATTTGTGTAGAGAATAAACTAATTCTTACCTATCTGTTGTATTAACAATTGATGTTGGTGTATTATTCATATTATCAATAATTGTTTTTGTTATAATCGTATAGAACTGTTCAATATCTTCACTTTTACTTGCTGCATGTGTTGATAATGGTAAATTATTTGTTAAAATTGGTTGTTGATTATTTGTTGTAGCTGTTGCTAATGAAGCTAATGTTGCTTGAACAAGTTGTGGTGATAAACCTTGTTGAGTATTTGTTGCTGTTGTTGGAATAATAGCTGCTGGTGGTTCAATAGGAATTTGTACAATAAGTTTACTAAAGAGATTTTGCATTGATTCAACTAAACGTGGATTATTTGTTATTGATACACATGTTATTAAAGAACGTTTTAATGTACGCATTGTATATTTTATTTGTATAACAGTAAATGTTGATATAAGAAAGGCAAGAAGATCAATAGCAATGGCAATTGAATTGTGTGCTGTAATATTGGGTGATTCCTATGAAAAGAATAAATGAAGAGATTTGTAGATTGCTATTATCTTTCATTTACCAATACGTTCTAGTTTTTCAAGTTTCATCCTAATCTAATTGAACATTAACGATCGATATTTTAATTGAGTGACTACTATTTGAAAATAACTTTTCATGTATAACATTGACAAAGATTAAAGATGAATGTTCTTATTCATGGACGAAATCGAGTCATTAGCGATTGTGAAAAGATAGCTATTAGTCGAATTTGACAAAGAAACGCCGATTAACGATGATATTAAACAGTTATCTCAATGTTTCTATCAAATTTATATTATTGTAGACTAGACACATTTTGAACGTCTTAGATTAATGATTCCGAAAAGAAGATCACTTAAGTTCATATTGGTAGTGATCGTATATTAGTATTAAGTATTCCGATTGTTTGCGAAGATCATGGCAGAGCTCAGTATATAGTTCAATAAATGAGGCTTATTCAGGTTTTGATAGTATAGTATATCAATTTGTGAGTAATGTTTTTCGTACTATATGGAAGATTCAAAGAGGTGGTTCTATTTCAATGAGCTCCACGATGATGTGACTTAGTACTATTTGAATTTATTTCAATAGGAACGCATGAGAGAAAATGCTGACAAGATGTCTACTAAAGATTATGTTGAAATCACAATAAGGATTGATAAGAAAAATCAAAATGATTCCACAAAAAATTCTAAATAATGTTTCCTATTAAATATTTTCTTTGTCTTAGTGAAATACAATCCGAGACAAAAGAAGTTGCCCTTCATAAAGTACTCCTCCTATGCTTTTATGATTTTGAGTTGATATTTGAGGTGTATGTAAGTGTCAATAAACCCTGATCTCAAGTACCAATTCACCCTTCAGAAGTTCACATGTACTGAAGTTATGATCCACACATCATCTTTCCCTTGTATATGGTAGCTATCTCTAGTTTAAATTTCGTTAGAAGTCATTTTAAACTAACTGAGCTGTTGGTTTTTCGTAAGATGGATCTTATCCATGATGACTTTGACTAATTCATTTGAAAAATTTACCACGACATTGGTTCATTTTCTCGGAACGTGCAAATTACTAAGATTTTGACTATATGTTATAGACTTTGGTGACACTAAAGTAGACATATATGAAACTGTCGTTACAGATGGTTCTCAAAACGGAAAGAAGATACGCGAGTCATAACTTTAGTATATGTGAACAGATGAAGGGTGAGTTGTTGTTTACGATCACGGTCTATTATCGCATACATGCATTTAAAATATCAGGTGAAAATCATAAGGAATTGTCGCATTTCATGGAGGAAAGCTACTTTTATCCAGAACTGTTGTAGGCGATCATCATTCTTCTCTCCGTCAAGGTTACAAATAAATTTTCATTAAACGATAAAACACTTGCAATTATCCTTTCTCCAAATATATCAATATCGAGAAAAAAAAACCAATCCAATCAATATTCACTATGTTAATAACTTACAATTTGATGTATTAATCTTTCAAATGTTGTTAATTTAATATCAACATTAGGCCATGCAAATTTTCTTGCAATTTTAAATAATCTAATACATTGTTGTGATAAAGGTAACATATTTTGTAAATTAATTTGACATGCATGTCTAATAAGAAAATTAAATATAGTATCAATTAATGATCGATTAAAATTTTTTTGCTCATTTATTTGTTCATAATGTTTTCGTAATTCCCATTTAATAATAACTTCAATAATATCAATAGCTAATTTTTTATGTTCCATTGAATTTGTTTGTTGTCCAGCTATTCTTTGTGCTGATTGTATCATTAAATTAGCTAATATATATCGTACATGAAAATAAATTGTTTGATGACGTACAATAATTGTCATAATATGCATTAATTGTAAATTTCCATGTGCATCATCCGAAAGAATTTTTTTTGTATATTCAGCTAATATATCATAACCATCATCCATACGTATTGGTATAGCTGGTATTAATAAATCAGTTGCTTGTCGTACTAAATATTTAGCATCAATAATATATGATTTTAATAAACTTGTAAAAACATTTGTTATTATACGTTTAACAATAGGATATTTTGATATAATATAACAAAGTAATAAATGTGCTTGACATTTAAATGTTGAATCAATATTATTCATTGATAATGTTTCATATGCACATTCCATAACACGACGAAGTTTTTCATTATCACGTTTATTTGTTATTGAGGAATTTGTATCACATATTAATTGTGGTTTATATTCAAGAAATAAACATAAAAAACGTAATAAACATATACGATATTTATCATTTATTTGATGAAGATATTTTTTATCAATCATTGTTCGTATAAATAAATCAATAATTGTTTCATCACTATTTGAATTTATTTGAAATAATTCATTATTTATTTGAATTTTATTATTTTCAAATTCATATGTAAATGATGGTAATAAAATATATTCAAAAAATAATGATTTACATTCTAATGTATAGGATTCATCATTACGTAATGATATAAATGATAATAATGCATCACGTTTCCATTTTAATGAATAGGTTTTTATAATAGTATCTTGTATAAAATTAAAGAATCTTTTTGGATAAAATAATTTTTCAATACATGAATATATACGTGTTAATTCAAGTAATAAACGTATACGTTCAGGTTGATATTGATAATAAATTAAACATAAATTAAGAACATTATTTAATTCTTTTGTACAAAATGAATCAAAATGTTCTGATGATAAAAATGAATGTTGTTGAAATGTATTTGAACGCCATAAACGTAATAATAATGAAACAAGTTCATGTTGTCTTGACCACCATAATTGATCTGTACGTGCTAATATTGATAATGAACGTATTGTAATACATATTATTGAAGGTATATTTTGTGTTGTTTCAATAAAAACAATATGATCACTAAGAATTTGTCGAAAACGATCAAGCCAATTTGTACGTACAAATGTTTGAATATTTGATGATGATGAACTTTTTAATAAATCAAGAAAAAGACGACTCCATTGTAAATCTTGTAAACGATTTTCATCATTTATAAATTGATCGAGACTTAATTGAGGATGACGAATTAATAATTCAATTAAATATTTACGACATGAACTACTTGACTAGAAAAAATTCAAATTATTTAAATATGAGATCAATTAGTTTTTATTTAATAACATGTGTTGTAGGATAAGTTGAAACATTCTATAGAGTTGTTTAATATAATACAAAATCTTTATTTTATCCAGAAATGTCGTTTTATTCTAGAGCAGATGATCCCAATAAACTGCTTATTATATCGATGATTAAAAAGTATGGCATCGATGTTTTATGGATTTCTCGTCCAAATCAAATGATAACACAGTTCAAGTCCATGTTAAAATGTAGTTAAAATCCGCCGCCACAACTTAGCAAGGTCTGATTGTTTTTGAAATTCTACTAATTTATTTGCTGTGAAAGTTTTTCTTAACAAATTCGAGAATTTAGAGGTACTCTTACCAAAAAAATAGTTATTTTTCAACAAATAAGTCATCAAGGTGCTCGAACTATCGCCATTAGGCAAGGATACGAATGTTTCTAAGCATATCTTAGGTGTACAGAGATTAATTCAAAAATCATCGGAAAATCAAAAATCTTCCCTCTTACGCTTCACTTGATAGAAAAATGTTTCAATGTGTTTCATCTAAATCGATCTTCAATAAGTCAAATTTATCATTATTACTTTATTTATTGAAATTTGTCATTTAACGAAGAAAGTCCGTCCAACTAATAAATAACTTTTGAGTTGGAACTATATGTGTCATGCAAACCCTACTGAACTATGAATATCCTGTAACAACTTTGAATCCTCAGCATATCGATGCGGAGATATTACATTACTACGATATTTTTTAAGTCCATACCGTGTTTCCACTGGGAAACACAAATAAAACTGAGTTTCAAATTTTGATTTGAAACAATGCGTAGAAACAGACGTTAATAAACATAATTTACGTTGAAAGTCCCATGCCTTCCGATTTGCTCCTATCCTGAAATAAAAACATCAAATTTGTCGACGTATATGAGAAATGTGAAAGATACACTTTTACCATAAACTATTCTGCTTAACGGGTGTCTCTATATGGATTCGGCAGGGTCTACGTATGGTTCTCAGTTTAGATCACAATGTTGACTTTCAAAGTATTCATAACTCGTTATAGCTCATATGATGCACATAGTTTGAAAAAAAACTATCTTTTATTTGTTTAAATGAATATCTTACTTCAATCATAAGATGTTTATCAAATTTTAGAATAAGAATTGTTAATGATTCAATAATTTTCTTCGATGAACTTGGTAATGTTGCTAATAAATCTAATAAAATTAAACAAGTTTTATAAAATTGATTTTGTGTATCAATAATTGAACGAAATGCTTGTGCAATATTTTGCATTAATCTTCGAATTAAATTAAGAATTTGTTCACAAAGACGTTCATCAAATGAATTAGGTGATAATTTCGATAAATAAAATAATGTTTGTGCTATTTGTGGTGTTAAATTTAATTTTTCATAATCATGAAATGGAATTTTTTGTATATATAAATCAACAAAACGTAAACGTAATTGTTCATTTTGATGACCATTAAATATTTTTTCAATTGATTCATATGCAATTAATTGTAATTCATTTGATTGTATTGTTGTTAATATTTTATAAAATAATCTTAATACACGATCACGATATTCAATTTGTTCATAATATTCAGCTAATGTACGTATAGATAATTTTTTTAATAATAATATATTTAATGTTAATTGATGTTGTGTTAATGAACGATATGATGATGATTTAATTAAATCATTTTCATCAAATAAAAATGTTGTTAATTCTTTAAATAAATCATCATCATATAATGTAATATATGTTATTTTAGGTTCTAATGTACGAAAATAAATATATATATCTAAATATGTTATTTGATAGATTAATGATTGATTTTTAAATGGTAATATATTTGATGATGAAAATTTTTTAATTAAATCATTTTTAAATGGTTCAATTAAACGTATAATTGGTTGTTGAAATAGACAACTTAATTGTCGTAAACAATCATATATTAAATTACGTATATAACTTATTGGTGAAAATAAATAATTAATTAATAATTCAATTAAATTTTCATTAAGATTTTCATTTGATTTAATTTCAGCATAATAGTCAAGAAATTCTTTTATCATAGTTGATAATATATCTAATGTACCAGATGATATTTCATCAGTTAAAGATATAATTACATGAAAATATCCATTTAGTATTTGATTTAGATTTTCGAGAAACCAATTAGTTTCTTTACGAAAATAATTTAAACATAATTGATGAAGAAAACGACATGAACCTTGTTTTGAATACCACATACGATCATAACAATGGTTACATAATGTATGAATTAAATAATTTATTAATGGTAATTGTGTTATACGTTGATAATCATTATTAAATATAATAAGTAATATATTAAATAATGTTTCAAATGATATACGACCAATTGAATTTAATTCATCATCAATATCAATATAACAATAAACTATACAATCAATTAAAATTATTGAACAATCAATAGTATCATTTGTATCATATGTATCAGAAATTAAAGGACCTAAAATATAGGAAATAAAACATCTATGCAATATAATAATATTGAATTAACAGAAAATAATGGATAGAATAGAATGAATGAGCCTCTCACGAGGGAATGTTCCCAAGTGATTAAAAGCTTTTGAGCTCATATGTTGCCCATTAGGTAGGGGGCCACTAGTTTAGAGAAACCTCCAAAGGATTCGTGCCCATATTGAGATTTGACAGAGATATCGAATTTTTAGTGGTTTTTTCCTGCTGGACCCTAGTTCTACAGCAAAATCATGTTTTTGAATTTCAACCTGAAACTTTACCCAAATGAAGGCCTCGATCAGAGTAGCTTGTATAAAAAATTTCAGAATTTTTGGACATTGCATCTCCAAGGTATCAATTTTTGAAAATATAGGCACTTTTTTATAAATAACATGGATACTTTGAAAGATTGATACCTTGGAGATGCAATGTTCAAAAGTTCTGAAATTTTTTATACAAGCTACTCTGATTGAGGCCTTCATTTGGGCAAAGTTTCAAGTCGAAATTCGAAAACATGATTTCGCTGTAGAACTAGGATCCAGCAGGAAAAATCCACTAAATAGGATATCTCTGTCAAATCTCAATATGGGCACGAATCCTTTGGAGGTTTCTCTAATNGATTGAGGCCTTCATTTGGGCAAAGTTTCAAGTCGAAATTCGAAAACATGATTTCGCTGTAGAACTAGGATCCAGCAGGAAAAATCCACTAAATACGATATCTCTGTCAAATCTCAATATGGGCACGAATCCTTTGGAGGTTTCTCTAATCTAGTGGTCCCCTACCTAATGGGCAACATATGAGCTCAAAAGCTTTTAATCACTTGGGAACGTTCCCTCGTCAGTATTTTCTTATATTTAGTAGATTTTGTTTTTATCTTCAATTTCATTTTTTTCTTTTGTAAAACAAAATAATTTCACTTTAATTATTTAATAAAACAATATCTATGTTTAAAATCATAAGAATTTTCTATTACCTATTTGTTGTGTTAATGAAACAAGTGTATAATGTTGAATAGTAGATTTTAATATTGGAAGAACATCATCAGTTAATGTTTTGCATGTAGCAGCTTGATGAAGACATTGAAGAAGTAAAGCATGACCATAACGAGATTTTATTTCAATATTTGTATTCCATATTAATGGACATTGAGATATTGTACCATTTAAAAAACTAAATTGAATATATTAGAAAGATAACTAACAATAAAGAAAATAATAATTAACCTCGGATGATTTAGAAGATGTGTAACAAGATCATGATCATCATCATTTGTAATAAGAACAGAAAGAACACTTCGAACTATGAGCCATGCTTGACGTTTTATTTGATGTTGATCAGTTATATTAGATTTTAATTGATCAGAGCAAGTTCGAAGAATCTATTACAAATGAAATATAAATTTAATTCAATAGTTTTACTCTAAAGATTATAATAGGAAAGAGTATATATATATTATCAATCATTTAATTTCCACGCATCACTACTCTCATCTTCAAGTATGTAATACTCTTTGGTTTTATATTTTTACTATGCGTAAGTCTATAAAAGATCAAGAAAAATTGAAAAAGAAAATTCCAATAGACTAAATCTTCTGCTCATATTCGAAAAAGATCGATACTAGGCTGGGCAACAATGAATAAGTGTTATTTCCTTAATCAAATACAACTTGAATAAATAAAAAATGCTAACCAATATGAAGGTTTATCAGGGCTTTAACGAGTTTCTTTTGCACAGTTACGAGCATGACAAAACACGAAAAAAAAAAGAAAATTTATCAATAAATCGCTGAAAAATACATTTTTTGTCTATTTGTAAATGCTGGTATCTTTGTAAGAAAAGGTCGTACAAAATGCGCAGATCCTTCATACTGTGTGGAATTTTGTGCTCTCTCAAAAGGTCTGTAAAACACGATCTAAAATAGATGTTGAAATATAGGAAGTGAAGATTTAAACTCTCATTCCACAAACGTTGTTGATATAAGATCGTAGACTTGATTTAAAAAAAAACATCTCGTTATAATATGTGAATTATTGCGTTTCTGGAAGATCAAATAAAAAAATGATAAAGAAAAGAGTCTTCGAAAATAGATGGAATAAAACAATCTTCCTATGATTATCAATAGCAGCTATATCAAATTTCATATTTTAATTTGATAGGAATAACACTTAAAAATGATTTCTTTTCTTACTTTTATTAAAGGTATACTAATTGATTTCGATTCATTTTCAAACGACATTTGTACATAAATTTCATTTTGTTGTTCAATATCAAAATCATCATTATCATATTTAATTTGTTGTGGTTCATTAAGTATTCGTCGATTATTTCCACCTAATTTACCTAATATACGAAATGTATTTTGTGCAATATCATTATTTGAATGACTTAATAAACGATATAATGATATCATTAAACTACTTCGTACAGGTAAAATATGATTATAAAGAAAATCTGGTTGTAAATTATCAACACATAATTCTAATGTACGTAAACCTTGTAAAATTAATGTTGATGAACCATTTAATGCATTAACTAATGGTTCCATTAATAATGGTAAATATGGTAATAAAACACTTAAACGTACAGGTACAGTTAAACATAATTCAATAAATAATTCTCGTAAATTTTGTCGATGTTTACATGATTGATATTCATTTAAACGTTGTAAAAGAAAATGTAATAAAGTTAAAAATTCTTGATTTAATAATTCATGATTACCAACACCAATACTACGAAAAAGTGCACGTAATAATATAAAGTAATTATATGGATCTTGTGTTAATTGTGCACATTCAATTGAACGTAGAATAATTTGTTTTAAATATGGTTGAAGAATTTTTTCATTTTCATTAGCTAATGTTGTTGTAACAACACTATTTATAACTAATTTAAATAATTTTAAACAAGCATTATTTGTATTATTTGTTTCACCTATTTCATTTATACGTGGTAAAAGAAATTCAAGTAATAATTCAACCAATATTGTTGATGATGGTGATTGTTGTAATAATGTATTCATAATTAATGTTATATTTGGATTTTTATTAGCACATTGATAAAAATATAATAGATTATTTTCAAATATTTCACGATAATTTTGTTTATGCATAACAATAAATACACTTGCAATCATATCCATTATTTCTTTTTCTTCTTTATTACGTGTTGCATTATTTGTATTATTTATTGTTGAAGAATTTCCATTTGAATTTGTTGTTGATGTCGAATCAAAAAATATAATTAAACATTGAAGAATATATTTAAAAAATTTTATATATAGAATTGTTATTGATGGTGGAAATTGTTTTGGTTGTGTAACAAGATTATCAGATATTTTAACATCAGCTAATATCCATGTTATATGACGTAAACTACTAACAAGAACTTTTAATAATGTACGACAATCATTTGATGATAATGTATAAATTAATGGAGATGTTGCTTGAAAACGTATCAAAGATAACTAGAATATTAAATTAAAATTAAAATCGAATAGAAATAATAGAAAAGTAAATTTATCTTAACTCTAATATAGTTAAATAAGATGTTCATGGCATTGTTTTTGAGTGAATTATTATTTAAGAAGATATGTATATTATTTGAAAGCAAAATGAAATAAATAGTTTGAAGGATAACTAATAATTTAATATTTTCTTTGCAAAATAGAAATAATACTTAGGGCTAATCAAAAGTTCTAAGCCCTGTGTTTGAAGGACCTTGTCGGATAAGGTAACCTATTTAGGAATGATAAACCAAGTATACCATATTGTAGAGCATTTTCAGGCGCATGGAATGGCATATAATAAATTCTGTTTTCATAAAACTTTGAAGGAATTCGAGCTAATTTACGGATGGACGACTACACATCTACAATCACATTCACCGATAGCCACACTGACGAGATGATCGAAGATGCTACGTATATAAGGTTTTAACCTGTCAAAAACTCTACAAAANTGATCGAATTATAGTTATTGTAGGTAAATTATTTCAAAGTCATCATGTAACTATTTTTGTTTCTGTTATAGATTATGTTCTAGTCGAATCTAGTCGAAGAGCTGATTATTTGGTAATACTTTGGACACTGATACTTGAGTGATTGTTTATATATATATATATATACATTTTTCATGTAATTTACTTTTACGTGAGCCTTGTTTTTCTTATTCAGTTCGTTTAGTTCTCATGACATCGGCATATACCATCCCCAGAGTTATTTATATGTCATATACACCTTTTTCTATCTATTTTCTCACTTGTAATTCTACTCCGCATTTTTTTGTGTCTTTGTCGAAATTTTCATGAGATAATTATGTTAAAAACGAATAACTATCGCGATTTTTGTGTTTTTATTGTATTTTTGTCTTTTATGTGTGATAAAAACGGATAAATTTTTTAATAAAATTTAATCTAAAGACTCGATGTAGTTTTAAGAAAATAAATAAAATTAATCTGAAATAGTGAAAATCTGAGATCCGATTGGCGATAAAGCTACGGTTAACATTCAAATTAATCGGGAATAAATTGCGATTTATTGTAATAATCACTAGAAATATCATTAAAAATCGGCGATTAATCGCGTTTCAGCTCACGAATATCGTTTCGATATATCGCGATTAATCGGCAATTTTTTAGCGATTTCTATAACATGGGTACCTTTATTATATACTATCGGTATAATTCTCAATAAATTGTGTGGACCTGAACATAACTACCCTAAATTCATAAAGAAAAAGTCAGATTGGCGCTCTAAATGTCTTGATCATCATGATATGAAACAACTATTAGAAACAGCTACTTCTGACACACATTTCTCCTTTAGCAATAAATATTATTTACAACACCATGGAGTAGCAATGGGATCACTATTAGCATCTGTCCTTGCAGATATCTTCATGATTCATCTAGAAAATAAATTCATAAAAAAGCTAAAGAAGGCAAGGATGCTTTGGTATAAGAGATACGTAGATGACACGTTTGTTATCATTCAAAAAATTACTAAAGTCACAAACATAAAAAAGATACTCAATAATCTCCATAAAGATATACAATTCACATCAGTTCAGGAACAGAATAATGAACTTCCATTTCTGAATGTACTTGTTGTGACGATTTCTGATAGAATGGATATTAGTGCTGATGGAGTTACACTTTATTCTATTCCTTCATATCACATAATTGCACTGCTTGCATAGAAAGCACGTGCTTATATACGCACTGTGAAGAGAGAACAGACAAGCAAGGATACAATCTTTGAAGGACATACAAGGACAAATCTGAAGGGCATGCGAACAATAGCAGAAACGTCAGGACATAAAAGGTATTCTCGTGGGTTGTTACACTTGTACGTCGTCAAAATAAAGTACTCGCAACATCTGTATATAGAAAACCAACATACACAGGCTTGGTGACTAAGTGGTCTTCATTTGTTCCGAAAAGTTATAAAATATCTTCTGTAAGTTCTATGGTATATCGAGCAATTCACATTTCTTCTTCATTCACAATCATGCATCAAGAATTCGATTTCATAAGAGATATCACAAAACGAAACGGATATCCATCGAATTTTGTAGAATGCCAGAAAAGATGCACCTTAAATAGATTGACGAATAAAAGAAATGAACAAACAAAAAACAAAGATAAAATTCAAAATAAAGTTAATAAAGAGCAGAATTACATCAAAGACTCACTCATTGATAGAATAATAATAAATGTCCCGTATGTGGGAAAAACAATTCAACAATTGAGTAAAGGTATCAAGAAGCTTGCTAAGAAAATAAAACCAACAGCACAATTAATAACAATACCTAAACCACTACCAGCAGTAAGATAGATATTTAAAAACAAAGATGAAATACCAAAAAGCCTTCAGTCAAATATAATCTATCAAGCGAACTGTAGCTCGTGTTCAGCCTCATATATAGGTAAAACAATCAGACAAAGCTGTAGAAGATTAAAGGAACATGGAGCTCCAACACAAACACTAGTAGAACAAACCAATAATAATCTGAGACACTCAAGATGAATTACTGCAATGAATGCTAATAATTATGCTCGAATTTCATATTATGAATCGGATAGTAGTGGAGATGATCTTCCTAGTACCACATATACATCAGCAATTAAGCGTCATATGACTTCAACTCAATATAAAATTGATTGGCATACTTGGAGTATCTTGGATACAGACAAACATCCATATAGATTACTTGTAAACGAAAGTCTAGCCACAAGTGAAAAATCACCTACTTTAAATCTAACCACAAGATCAGTACCTTTAGTAGTATGTCCTGAAGGTCGTATCATTAGACGAACATATCAAAAGACAATTCAATAACGTCATTCAATACAATACCTCTCTATCACCATTCTTACATAATAATAATTGTAGTATAACGTTCAAACTCAGTCTTATTGTATGTCAAATAGATAATATTCAATACATACTCTTCTCATATTGAATCTGTAACACATCTTACTCATATTGTTAACTCTTTTCTGACTTATTTCTCAATTTTTTCTGTAGTTCTCACTGAATTTCTCATCTGACTCGAATTGTAATCACAACATTCTCATATTATACTATCTTGTATCTAACCTTCTAAATCTTGTTATAAGTATCACTACAGTATAATAACCAATGTAGTTGTCCTATATCAATCACATTAATTAATTAATGTTATATTTATATCTGTAGTCTTAATAATATTGTATTTTACTCCATTCGTTTAACTATGTATTACTTCTATAATTCTAAAGTTCAATAACTTATCCCTTACTTACTTATAATTTATTCTATTTCTATAATATTCTGTACATCACCACAATACTTTCTATTTTGTTTTGTTAAGCGATTACCTCCTTTGTACCTTTACTTGATGATGATTTTAAATTTATAGAAACATCGTAAAATGACGAAAAAATAAAAACAATTGTCTTGTTATTTATTTAAGCTTCTGTAAAAAACTTTTTTCATATAATTTTAGTAATTAAAACAATCGTCTAAATCTTCAAATCAATCATCTACACAATCACAGACCGATTTCAAAGTTGATCAATTTTGCAATATGTCATCTTTTAACGATGCCAGTAACACATCATCTAGAAATACTCTTATTCGATATATTTTCTTGTTTTAATATTACAATGTAACTTACACTTTAGACTATTCGTATATTCATCAATATTCAATAGCTGCATATGATTCAAATGGAATAACCAATACATCAAATACAAATAATCTTGCTGTTCCAACAATCGACTTAAATTCTGTTCTACTTTCAAATACTAAAAAAATGTTATCAATATGTATGCAAACAAATATTTCTCAAACATCATGTAGTATATTGTTATTCAAAAGTTTCATATAGTTGTGAAATTTATTTTTTTAGAAAATATATCCAAAAAACAACCATTGATATAGATATCATTATTTCAATAATTAATTTTATATTTCATTTAAATATCACAAGTTATTAACACTAATTTCCCAGGTCAACGATTCCGGCCTTTCCCGCCNAGTCTGCCAAAATTAGAGAGCTAAACATGTTTTAATAATCGACTTTGTCGTCGTGTCATATATAGAATATATTGAGTATCGAGTGATCGATACGATAGAACATCAACAACTGCGCAAAAACGAAAGACAAAAAGATAATCACGAGATGAATCATAGTTGAGAGATTACGTAACAAATCAAATCAGAGATTCAAAAAATAGATAACATAAAATAAACGCTTAGCGTCAGTAAGCACCATCTACTGACGCTAACAATCACCTTACCTCGAAATAAATCTATTCTTAAAGATCTGATAAAATTTTAGTTTAAAAAGATTTGTTAATAGTAATGATTTGTCTGAGTACATGAAATCAAAAACGAATTTTCTATCAATATTAATAAACTAAATAAACGTTCTCAAAAAAAAAACAAATAATGGAAAAGAACAATTGACTTTTGATTTGCAATACAATTATTCTTCCATTGGCTTGTCATACCATACAAACAAAAAAATATATCTGTCAAACAAAAAATGTTATTTTTGTTTTAAAGATCTTGTGAAACCAATATTGTTCCTGGTAATATTAAAATTGTATATGTTGTTGTTCCTCTTGGTTTTAAACTAATTCTAGTATTTTCTTAATGATTATTTGTGTCAAAGTTATATTTTTTTCTAAGACATTGTGGTAAAAAAGTTGTATACATGTCCATACGAAATTGTTGAAACATTGAACAATACATAATAAATGTTATAAATGATGAATCAATTGATGTTATATCCCATATATCCCCAAATGTGAATATAATAAAAAAGACCCTGAGGAAATTTCACAAGTACAGTAAATAATGTTATAAATACAAGCATTGTTGTTTGTTCGTAATTCACGTTTTAATTTTGATGTTGATAAGGATACAGATGAATAATGACGACGAAGACATTCACGTAATTAACGTGTATGACGAATATTTAATATAAGTAAAATACTGAATACAATTAAAATAAAAACTGGAAAAATTTTAAAACATAATGCTAATATAACAAATGAAATTTTTTCTAATCGTTCACCTGTTGCTGTACTAATTCAATAAACTGTTTCTGACGAATTTTCTGTATATAAATTAGGAAGGCATATATATAAGCTGGTTGTCGAACAACACTTCAAACAAGAATTATCACATGTCTTGAACTCACCACTACTTGTTTTAATTTTGATATTATTGCATATCGAATCTAAACAATTAATGATTTATAATTACAATCATTTTTGTTTGTCTTTCATAACACTTACAATAGCAAGAAGACAAGTACAGCCATAGAAAGTTATTCAAAAATCAACTGAGCATTTTTTAGATTCATTTTCTTGATCGATCTGAAGACGTACTCAACGAAGAAATACTAGACCTATTCAACTTGAACATCTCCTAAAGTCCTGTATTGAAATATTATGGAGGCGAGGGTTAAAGTGATGATGAATCTGATGGTAAAAGTTCATATTTTCGGACTATAGCTCTGTTCAGATTAGGTTGGAATCTGTTAAATATTACTGAAAGTTATGTTTGTCTATGGGTGTGAATAAATTTTAACAAAAGTAGTCGTGATATTCCTTTAATCTTTTGTCTTGGTATATTTGTACAATTTTTGAACATTAAAGTATTTTCATACAGGGTGTGGGTGTAGGTGTTGGAGTCATCTCTTAACTGGTACCCACACTCACACTCCACACTCACAAGTATTCATTATTTAAATTCTTATTTATTTATTTATCAAATACTAATTAATCTTTATATATATAGGATGGCCTAAAAGTAACGGAAAAGAGTAAGGAAATAGCGAATTCTTTCCAACTTTTTCTTAATGGATTAATAGCTAGATCTCATATTTGGACCAAATATACTATATAATAGTTCTTGGAGAAGCCGCCTATAATCAGCCGTTGTTCTTAAGATTTTGTTGAAAAAAACAGAAATTCTTTTTTGTAGTCTAATATGATTATTGCTAAAGTATATTGTTTTTTCTGTCATATTTTGTTTCTATCTTTTTGGTTGTTTGTATCAGCCTGTACTAGGTTATTGAAATCCTTTTGACTCCTAAGTTGTTTTTGAGTTTTTACATAGAAAATTATACAAGAATGGAATATAACGGGACGAAAAAAAATAAATTCGATAAAAAAAGATAGCAGACTCATGTAACAGGCAGATAGGACTGCGAGAGAGACGTTCGGACGTTTTTCAATAAAACCTTAAGGGCAAAGTCTGATAATAGAGTACTTTTCTGAGTATTATCATGTAGTATATTTGGTCCAAATATGAGATCTAGCTATTAATCCATTAAGAAAAAGTTGGAAAGAATTCGCTATTTCCTTACTTTATCCCGCTACTTTTGAGGCATCCTGTATATATACAAATATTGATTATTTAATTACAAATAATTACTAATAGAAGAAAATCCATCAGTAATCTACAAAGAAAATTTTCATACTCAAACTAACGAAAATGAAAGTAAATCTGAAACAAATTTTTGAAATAATTATTTCTTTTTGCTTATCTAATTAATAAACAAAATAATTTTTTGTTTTTGTTTGTTGAATAGAACCTCTGATTTTTAGTTATTATACAAATTAGTCTCAATATTGTCATGGTCATGATTGATATTATCCAGAAAATATACCGGAAAATGTTTATACACATATAATATATATGCATTTACTAAACTTGAAAATAATTGTATAAAACCATATGAATGGAATGATGAAAGTACGCCATGGTCTGTTGAAATATAGCAAAGAATAATTAATTTATACTTAAGAAATTCAAATAAATTAAAAGTTTTACTTGAACTTGGTGGATGGTATCATAGAAGTCAACTATTTTCGAACATGGTTCATAATAAAGCATCAAAAGAATTGTTTATTGATACAACAATTCAATATTTAATTAAACATCGTTTTCATGGACTTGATCTTGATTGGGCATGTTTTTTTTCCCTTGTTTTTATTTAATAAAGAAATATTCTGGTTCACGACAAGGTTCAAGATAAATAGATAAAAAATATTTTTTTGATTTATTATTAGAATTTAAATTAGCATTTGAACCACATAATTAATTATTAACAGCTACTGTTGCTACTAGAAAATTAACAATTGATGTTCCATATCATATAAAACAAGTTTGTCAAATTTTTTTAGCTTTACTAATTTAAGGTTTTATGAATTACATGGATAAGTTTCTTTTCCTTTTTAATTATTTACATTTTATGTTTCAATTCTTTTATTGTGGAACTCACATATATTTTCGAAGAAAATAGTAAGTACAAGTTTTAAGTCGATTTTTTGGCTGCTCCCATCCCCCTTCAATAAATCTTTTTTTTTTGCAAAATTGATCGCATTATAATTTTGAAACCACTGAAAAAGTCTTTCTTCAAAATGTAGAATTTAGAGAAGTTCTTACTTTAGTCACCGATTATTCTGCGAAAAACTGATCCATAAGACATATTTTGACTTTACGTATTTTATATTAATTTAATGAGATTCGAGGGTATATGTGAGTTCCATATTTTAGACTCATAGGACTGTGCTAACAATCTTTTTTTCTGTTTTAAAGTTCATAAAAATCTAAAACAGGTATTCATACTTCATTATGTAGTCGTAAAAATGATGATGAATTATATAAACAATTAACACATGATTGATTTGCTAAATGCTGGATAAATAACAGTTTAATTAGATCATTAGCTGTTGGGCTAAGGTCAATTAGATCAATTTTTATTTTTATTTTTTTGTTCTGTTATTGAAAATCTAAATAAGATATATTTTTTAATAAAACGTAATGCTTGTTTATAT